GACGACGACGAGCGACGCCGCGCGCCGCTCGGACCGCGTCGCGCGCGTCCGCGGCGGCGGCCGCGCGGGCGACGGCGGCGCGGCCCGCAGGTCCTCGGCCTCGAGCGCGTCGCGCAGCGCGCGCTCCTGCGGCGTCTTCGGCGCGGCCGCGGGCATCTTCTTCGCGGGCGTCGCCGCGGGCGCCGCGGGCGCCGCGGGCGCGTCGCGCGCCGCGGCCGCGGCGTCGTCGGCGTCGCGCGCGGACCCGGGCCCCCGCGCGCCGACGCCGGGCCCGTAGAGGTCGCTGCGCTTCTTCTGCGGCGGCGGCGGCGGCGGCGGGAGCGCCCGGAGCGCCTCGTCCTTCGTCGACTGGCCCTTGGACAGGTCCCGGGAGACGCGCGACAGGTTCACGAGGCCGCCGGGGCCCACGGCCGGCGCCGAGTCGTCGAAGAACTCGGTGTTGAGCTCGGCCATGACCTCCATGGCTGCGTCACAGGTCGTGCGTTACCTAGCTATCGCGATGGATGGCGCGGCACCAGCCTCATCTTCTGCGCGCCATGCCCCCTTTTTTTGTGGACCAGAGCGGCGGCATCATTCGGCATCTTGCGACGATGAACTGACGATGCCGGCAAAACACTCGGCAAACATCGGCCGGCAGCCCGCAACAGTGGGCAGCGTCGCGCGCAAGCGCGTGGGTGCAGTGACCGGTCCGCGACAGCCCGCGCCGCACGGAGCGATCCGGGCAAAGAAACCCACCGAAAAGATCCGCGACCGCCCGCGCCGCGCGGCGGACATCCGAAACACCAGAAAAGACGATGGCCCTGCGCCGCGCGAGCAACGACCAGCTCAACGCCTACAACAACACGCTCAACGACGACCTGTCGCAAGCGCTCGAGGACCGCACGGCGCTCGTCGAGGCCCTCGAGCGCGAGGCGGAGGCCCTCCGCGCGCTGCTCGCGGGCGAGGCGCCGGAGGCGCCGGCGGCGGTCGACGCCGCGCCGCCGCTCGAGGTCGACCACCTCGTCGCGCAGAACGCGGAGCTCCACCGCCGCATCAACGAGGCCCTCGCCGTCCCCGCGGCGCCGCCCGTCGCGCCGCTCTCGCCCGCCGCGTCCGCGGAGCGGGCCTCGCCCGCGCCGGGGAAGCGGCGCAAGGAGCCGCGGCGGAGCGTGCTCTTCTAAGACGGAGGTCCTGAAACACGGGGACCTGTTACGTGCTCACGCGGCCGCGTCGTCGTCGTCGTCGTCGAAGTCGAAGAGCCGCGGGAAGAACTTGGGCGTCGTCTGGGCGTAGGCGCGGTAGGCCGGGTGGACCTCGCGGAGCTTCTTCTCCTCGTACTCGGACTTGGAGTCGAGCAGGAGGAAGAGCATGCCCGTGACGAGCGCGCGCTGGAACGACACCGTCGCCACGGAGAAGCCCGCGCTCGCGACGACGAGGCCCGCGTAGATGGGGTGGCGGCTCAGGGCGAAGACGCCGTTCGTCTTGAGCTCGTTCCCCGCGACGGGCGTCGCGAAGGGCGTCAGGTTCGCCGGCCCCAGCTCCAGCAGGCCGGCGCCGATGAAGCCCGCCCCGGCGACGACGAGGCCCGGCCCCGCGACGGCCTGGATGGGCCCGCCGACGAGCGGCACGCCGCCGGCCGCGAGGCATAGCAGGAGGACGGCCTGGCCCGCGACGAACAGCAGGCTCGGGGCCGTGGAGCCCCCGGCGACGTTCGCCCGGACGTTCTCGGCGAACGAAGACGCGACGTCCGCGGCGCGCGCCCCGCCGTCGCGCCGCGCCTGGCGCGCCTCCCAGTCGGCGAGCATGTCGGCCTCCTCCTTTTGCTGGACTCGTTCGTAGTCGTTCGCGTCGGCGCGCAGCGCCGGCGGCGCGCAGCGCGCGGTGGGCGGCAGGAAGCCGCGGACGCATGCGACGGCGCTCACCAGCGGCAGCAGCCGCATCTTCGTCATGTGCTTTTATGAACACGCGGTGCCTGCGACCGCGCTGTTGCGGGAGAGGCGGTATTTCCCTGCCGCGGGACGGTCCGTCGCCGCGCGGCGACGGACACTTCAAGCAAAAAGGCAAGCGCTTTTCGTTAAAGGAGTGGCTGCCCGAGAGCGTCAAACCAGGCGACGGACCTCGTCTTCAGCGCCTATTTCACCGCGTTCTCCATCTCCAAGGCCGCGGCCCGCCATGATTCCCGGCGACTTCGACGACGCTGCGCTCTTGGAGCACGACATCGACGTCGACGGGCAAGATGATCCACTGCGCGCGCATCGCGTCGCGCTCGAAGAGGCCGCGCAGCACGAGGCGAAGATCAAGGCGAAAATGAGCGAGGTGGAGGCCGAGCTGAAAAAGATGAAGGACTCGAGGAAGGGCAAGGGGTCCGGCAACCCGGGGAAGGAGCACTCGAAAAAGAAACGGATGCTCGAGGGCCAGCTCAAGGAGCTGCAGGAGGGCAAGTTGCCCGCGGCCAACGCGGGTCTCCGCAAGAAGAAGCGCGTGCTCGAGGGGCCGGCGCTGGCGCGCGCAGTAGCGCAGGACGCGGAGCACCACGCTGCGCCGGCGCGGCCGCCCGTGGGCACGACGGCGAAGGCCGCGCGCGTCGCGGCGCCGCGGATTATGTCGGGCGCGCTGCCGGCCAACGCCGCGGACGAGGACTCGGACGACGGCGCCGAGGACGAGGACGAGGAGATCGTGACGGAGAACCCGACCTACTACAAGATCCCGCTCGGCCAGAGGCTCTGGATCGATAAGGTCAAGAAGGACGTGAAGGGCACGTCCAGCGGCCCGTCGAACGTGCTCGCCCAGCGGCGCCGCGCCACGTTCGAGCCCCCGGACCCCGACCTCGAGCCGACGTTCCTGGGCGCGATGAAGATCCACATCTTCGCCCCCCACCTCACCGACGGCAAGCCGAAGCCGCCCTGCTGCTACGGCTGCGGCTGGAACAGCACGATCGTGTCCGACGGGTGGAACCACGACGGCCGGAGGGTCGTCGGCATCTCCAAGGATGACTGGGTGATGGGCCCCACGCTCAAGTGCAAGACGTGCGAGCGCAAGTGCAACGCGCGCCGGTCGAGGGCGCCCGAGGAGAAGAAGGAGGACAAGGAGTTCATGAAGGTCTTCATGAAGGGCTACCGCTACAAGTTCGAGTCCTACAGCGTCGAGTCCGTGCGGCTGTACGAGGAGAAGTACCCCGGCTTCATGGCCAAGCAAGACTTCGTCATCACCACCAGGAGAACCGCCATGACGCGCACGCTCGCCGATATCGTGAGGCCGCTCGTCAACTCGGGCATGAACCCGAACAACATCTCGAACCTGCTCGCCGAGACGAAGGACCTGGCGCTCACGCGGAGCCTGCTCAACGCGACGGGCGCCATCTCCGACGCCACGGCGCCGGGCCAGCACACGCTCGCGACCGCGCTGAACCGCGCGAACCTGGGCAACTTCGTCGACGAGGTCATGAAGTTCCAGACGTGCTCGCCGGGCCACAAGCTCGTCCGGCGCTTCGTGGTCGACGCGTCGGAAGCGGTGTGCCACTCCCAGTTCAGCTTCCGCGAGAAGAAGGTCGGCGGCGCGATCATCGCCATCGACCACACGCTCAAGACCCTAAAGGGCCAGAAGGTCGCCCAGGAGAAGGTCTCGAAGAACCGGCTCACGGTCTGGTCGAACGAGCTGGGCGCGCCGATGATTGCGCTGTCCACGGCCACGACCTCGATGGACGACGATGCCTTCGTCGCCGCCGCGAACTGCTACGGCACGCTCCTCGTCGACGGCCGCGCGCCGCCGAAGCTCTGCTTCCTCGACAACCCGGCGAGGGACGCCGGCGGCGTCCTGCGGCGCTTCGACTCGCTCAAGGACACGTCGGCGCCGGAGAAGTTCTCCTGGTCCGGGCCCGTGGTCTGCATCGACGACGCGGCGGGCGACGCGCGGGCGCTCGCGGCTCTCCGCGACGTCCGCCGCGTCGCGGTCGACATGGAGTGGCGCGCGCAGCCGCTGTCCGACGTGAGTCTCGTCCAGATCGGCGTCAAGGACACCGTGTACCTCTGGCGCGTCAAGGACTCGGTCCCCGCGGGGCTCGCGGCCATCCTCCGGAACGAGGGCATCGAGAAGATCGGCGTCAACTTCCAGGGCGACATCACGCGCCTGACGAAGCAGTACGAGGGCGTGGAGGTCAAGGGCGAGATCATCGAGCTCTCCGACCTTGCGAACGACACGCTGAAGAGCCAGAAGCGCCGCTGGTCCCTCGCGGACTTGGTGATGGAGCTCCTCAACCGGACGCTCGACAAGGAGCTCGGCGGCGGCGGCCGCTACGGGCGATGGGACGAGTGGCCGCTGGACCAGGACGCGCAGCAGTACGCGGCGAACGACGCCGCCGCGACGTTCATGGTCCACGCGGCGCTCTTGGACCCGAAGCTCCGGGGCTGGGTTTGGGTCGCGCCGCGCGACCGAGCCGCGGCCCAGGACGACGGCGATGCCGAAGCGGACGGCGACGCCGAGCTAGATGGCGACGCCGAGGGTCGTGTCCTCGCCGACGGCGCCGCGGAGCTCGACGGCGGGGACGACGGCGCGGCGGACGACGGCGCGGACGACGGCGAGGACGACGGCGCGGACGACGACGCGGACGACGTCGGCGACCTGCCCAACGACGACGTCGAGCAGGAGGCGCCGCCCGACTCCGTGCTCGCCGCGGCGACGAAGCTCGTCGTCGAGTACGAGGGCTCGAACGTCGCGGAGTCGCTGGAGCTCCCGACGTTCCTCGACAAGAGCGTCCGGCGCGACATCCACGAGCTCGCTCGCGACCTGGGCCTCAACAGCGAGAGCGTCGGCGACGAGTGCGTCGACCGGCACCTCGTGATCTCACGGCGCGGGCGCTCGTCCGCGACGCCCGCCGCGACGCTCGAACCGGCCGACGGCGCGCCCGCGGAGGAGCAGCTTCGCCAACGGCTCCGCCGGCTCCGAGGGCTACGCATCAAGTACGACCCTCGCCACTGGATGGCGAACTGGTTTTTGCTCGCCGTGTCCAAGAACTCGACCCTCTACAAGTACTTTTGCACTGCGACCTCGGACGCGGTGTACAAGATCAAGGAAGGCGAGTTGAACCGCCTCAACGCGCACCTGCGGCGCCGCGGCATGGCCGAGGACCAGATCAAGAAGATCCCGCGGCGGTACGTGCGACGAATGGTTCGACGGTTCATCCCCGAGCCCGACGTGCTCGAGCGCGACCTCACCAAGGTCTACGACTTCTTCAAGGGCCTGAAGGACGCCGAGACGGGCCAGGCCTTCTTCCGCGCGGGCCACAAGAAGCGGTTCGACAACGAGATGCGCTACGTGCGCAAGGGCTACCTGTCGGACCACCCGGACGTCGAGCTCTACGTGCCCAAGAAGAAGCTCGCGACGGGCTTCGTCGTCTACCGCTGCCTCCGCACGTCGTCCCCGCTCGAGGGCTACCACCTCCACCTGAGGGAAACGCGCAAGGCGAGCTCCTTGAAGGCGGGGCCGCGCTGGCACGACGTCGTGATGAACGAGTTCGACTTCCGGTGGATCATCCGCGCCCTCAAGCAGCGCGGCGCGCTGCCCCACCGCTTCCGCCACTACGACGTGTTCCTCGAGGACAAGTTGGCGGCGCAGGTCGAGGGCCTCGTGGAGCGCGGCGTCATGGCCGCGTCGCCGCGGCCCGGCTGGCGGCGGACGCCCTACACGAAGCCCGTGCTCTACCACGGCATCCACTACAACACCCAGGTCATCAGGCGCCGCGCCGCAGCGATCGCCCCCGGGATGTTCAACGCCCCCACGCCCGCGGCGACGACCCCGCAGGCGCCGCGCGCCGGCGCCGCGCGAACGTCGCCGCCGAGCACTCGCCGCTCCGAGTCCGAGTGGCTCGGCGACGTGCTCGGCGGCCCGCCCCTGCGCCTCCGGCGAACCGCGGACGACATCCGGCGCCTCGCCGCGGACCCGAAGCTCCTGACGGACCCGGTCGAGATGTCGCGCGCGGCGCTCCGCGACGGGCTTCTTCTGCTCGACGACACGGCCCGCGGTCTCGCGGAGGGCTTCGCCGCCGAGGAGGCGACCTTCGGGGAACTCCGAGACGCGGGGTTCTTGGACTTCCAGCAGGAGCTTCGGCACCATCGAGGCGCGCCGACGCCCCAGGCCGCGGACCTCCGATTTCTTCCGCCAAATCTGTCGACCGGCCGCTACGAACTTCCGGGCGCCGAAGCGGCTCCACTCGCCGGCCCTGTCATCATCGCCCCGCCCCCGCCCGCCGCCTCGCCGTCGCCTGTCGCCCCGCCCCTCGCCCCGCCGTCGCCCGCCGCCCCGCCCTTCGCCCCGCCGTCGCCCGCCGCCCCGCCGTCGCCCGTCGCCGCGCCGCAGTCGCCGCCCGCCGCGGACCTCACGCAGAGCGCCAAGAAAAGGAAGCGGAAGCGGGACAACAAGAGGAAGCAACGCGAAGACCCCGACTTCCGCCAGAGGGACAACAAAAACCGCACCGCGCGCCGGAGGAAGGCGCGCGGGGCCGCGGACGCGAGCTAGCACGCGGCTTTGGAACGTCGTCTCTTGGATAAATACCCGGGTCCTAACGACGGGGAAAGTCCGCGTGGGGCGCGCCGTCGCGCGCCTCGCGCGCCCCGGCGCCTGTCGGCGCCTGTCGGCGCCTTCGGCGCCTTCGGCGCCTCATTTTTTTCTTTTTTTTTCCTTCTTTTTTTTTACCCGGCCGTCCCACGACACGGAAAAATTGCCGTGTGTTTGGGCGCGCGTTGGACCGCAGCTCGACCGCAATCCAGAAGCTGCAAGGTTGGGGAAACAGCGATTCTTGATGTGAAACAGGCAGCAAATGTAGAGCGCGCATGGCAGCATCCAGGCGGACTTTTCCCGCTGAACTCTGACGAGGAGGCGAGGTCGCATCAACTCCGCCAAAGCCTCTCATGGCCGCTCCGGAGGCCGCCGCGGCGCCGCTCTCCGCGGCGCCCGCGCCGGCGCCGGCGGCCGCTCCGGAGGCTGCCGCGCCGCCGCGTCCCGACGCGCGCGCGTGGGTCAAAGCGATGCGGGGGATTTCGGCGATTGCGGACGTCGTCGCCGTCCGAACCAGGGACGCCGGGCCGGCGGGCGCCGAGCAGCTGGCCCTCTGGGCCGCGGCCTGCGGCGTCCCCGCGGTCGTCGTCGACCAGGTCGTCGAGCAGGTTTCGGGCATCGCCGGCTTGGAACCGGAGCGGCGCTGGCAGGCGCTCTACGGCCTCTGCCAGAACCTCTACAGCGACGGGCTCGAGACGGTGCTGGGCGGCGTGGTCGGCGCGCTGGACGACGACGGCGAGTACTACGTCAAAACCCCGGTTCGCCCGGCGCCGCGCGACGCGAACGGCGAAGAGGAGGACGACGAAGAGGACGACGACGGCGGCGGCGACGACGAGAGTTGGGATCGAGGCGAGAAGCTCCGGGCCCGCGGGCTCGTCGGCGCAGGCGGCCGGTGCACGGACGAGTGCGTCGAGACGCTGCGCTTCGCGCTCGCGGCGGTCAAGGACGCGTTTCGAGACAAAGCGCTGCCCGACGCGGACAGCGACGAGGAGTCGCTCCTCTCGGCGCCGGACTACGCGCGGGGGCGACTCGGGGCGAAGCCCGGCGCGGCCCGGCCGCCCGACGACTCGGAGGACTCGGACGACGGCGACGACTACTAGAGATGTGGCGCGGCCGCGATGTACATAACCTGTGTGTTCTTTGATCTCGCCAACCGGCGCATAGAGGCCAATGCGGGAAAGCGCGCGGGTTTCGCCGCTCGCGGCGCGAGTCGGGCGCCGCGCCCGAGGCTTCGGGCGCGGCGCCGTCACGGCGCGCGCGCGAGGGCGCCACGCGCGCACCCCGGCGCCTAGTTGGCGCAGCCCGCCGGCGCGGGCAGGCCCTTGGCCTCGGCCGCCGCGCAGACGGTCGCGAGGAGCGCCGTCGTGTTGCTCAGCGGCGTCCCGTCGACGACGACCCAGGGCACGCCGCCGTGCTCGGGCTGGAGGTCCGCCGTCTTCTCGGCCGCGGCCTTCTCGAGCGCGAGGCCGCGCGCCCCCGGCCAGGACGTCGGGTCCGCGGCGTCCGCGAGCGCGCAGCTCGCGACGGGCGCCCAGTCGAGGCCCACGGTGCCCGCGCACCGGCGGCCCGCGTCGGCGATGTAGGCGTCGGCGGCGCTCTTGTTGTAGGGCACGTCCTCCGTGCCGCTGGGCGCGTAGTCCTTGAGGTAGATCTGCGGCGCGCCCGTGTAGTGCAGGTCGCAGTCGTCGAGGTCGCAGGCCTCGCCGCAGGGGCAGTAGTTGAGCTTCAGGCCCTCGAAGCAGTAGACGAAGGGCCACCAGTTCGCGCGCTCCGGGTAGGCGTCGACGGCGCAGGCCTCGACGAGGTCCGCGAGGCCCTCGGACGGCGAGTGCTGGTAGATGAACTCGCCGGCGAAGCAGTCGAAGCCCTCGGAGCCGCACCTGTCGTTCCAGCACTCGCGGGCCGTGACGTTGTAGAGCGCGTAGCCCTCCTCCGTCGACGTCGTCGGGCAGGTCGCCGAGGCGACGTAGGCGTTGCCCCAGGGCACGAGCGAGAAGTCGAGCACGTCGTCGATGCCCTCGGCCATCATGAGGTCCTTCATGGGACCCTGCACGAAGGCCTGGCACCCGGGTCACAGGGCCTCGCCGAAGAAGGCGACCTCGACGGACGACGACGACGAGGCCGAAGCCGCGAGGAGCGGGAGGAGCTTGGCCATCGAGAGCATCGCAGATGAGAAGCAGCCCTCGGTGTGTCTGCACTCACGGCACGATGCCCAATAGATCATCACCGCAAAAGAGCCGCTGCTTTAGCGCTGCCTACCACCGACTCTTTAGCCCGTCCCTCGCCGCCGCCAAAGCCACGATGTTCAAGCTCTCCCTCGCCCTCCTCGTCGCCTCGGTGCACACCCGCGTCCCTCTCCGCCTCCCTGGCGCCGCCCTTGCGAAGACGCGGGGCTGTGCCTCCCCGATCTCGCCTCGCCGCGCCCCGGGGCTGCCCCGCCGCCCGCACCGCGCGTTGATCGCCCCGTGGGCGCGCCCTGGGCCCCGCGAGGACCGACCACCCTCGCGGAGGCCCCGGGGGCGCGCGGTGGCGGGCGGGGCTGCCTCGCGCGAGGGCGGGGCCTCCCCGGGCGCGCGCGCGACGGGGGTTTCTGGCGCCCGGAGCTCGCGTCCGACCCCGTCCCTCCTCCTAGGTCGCCGCCTACTGCCCGAACGGGTGCTCGGGCCACGGCTCGTGCGGGTCCGACGACCGCTGCACGTGCTACCTCCGCCCCAACAACGACTCGGCCTGGCAGGCGGCCGACTGCAGCGAGCGCACGTGCCCGATGGACCTGGCGTGGGTCAAGTACCCGGTCGCCGGCGAGAACAACGTCCACGAGAGCACGGAGTGCTCCAACATGGGTATCTGCGACCGCAAGAGCGGCGAGTGCGAGTGCTTCGACGGCTACGAGGGCATCGCGTGCGAGCGCACGTCCTGCCCGAACGACTGCTCCGCGCGCGGCATCTGCTACACCCAGAAGCAGCTCGCCACGGAGGCCGCGACGACCTACGACACGCCCTGGGACGCCATGAAGCACGTCGGCTGCGTGTGCGACCTCGGCTTCCGCGGCCCGGACTGCTCGCTCCAGGAGTGCCCGTCCGGCACGGACGTGCTCTCGGGCGACGGCAACACCAAGGGCCGCGACTGCAGCGGACGTGGGCTGTGCGACTACGACTCCGGTCTGTGCAAGTGCTTCTCGGGCTACTACGGCACCAAGTGCCAGCAGCAGACCGTCCTCGGATAGGTCGTCGACCCGCGATCCCCGTCTCGAGCCGCTCGCGAGCGCCGCGGGGTTTTACGCGCGCGCCGCCTCCTAAGTTTCCTGGATCCTACTCGCGTGTTTGTTTCGTGCGTGCGCGACGACGCCTCCTTCTTGCGCGTCCGGCGAGGTCGCGCCGACACGATCGCGTGCGCACTGGCAGCACGGCTAGAGCCCTCCATCGCCTGCACACTCGTGAGCGGCTCGCCGCGGCCATCATCGCGCAGGTGATGCTGGCGCTTTCAGCGGCGCGGCCGCTAGCCCTCCGATCGGTGGCGCGGCCTGCGCTCGCCGCGGCGGCGCGACCAGCGCCTCTCGCACCGCCGCCGGCGCTGGGCGCGACGCGCGGCTTCGCCTCCCGGAAACACAAAAAGTTCATCAAGCTGGCCAAGGGCTACCGCGGGCGCGCCAACCGGTCCGCCGCCGCGTCGCGCACGCCCCATAGCTTCCCACAGACTCGTCCCATCCTAGGTGCTTTCGCATCGCCGTGCAGCGCGTCGAGAAGGCGTGGCAGTACGCGTACCGCGACCGCAAGGTGAAGAAGCGAGAGATGCGCAAGAGCTGGATCCGCAGCATCAACGCGAGCTCGCGCGCCTACGGCGTGCCCTACAACCGCTTCATCGCGGGCATGCGGTCCGCCGACATCGACCTGAACCGCAAGGTCCTCGCGGATCTGGCCGTCAACGAGCCGCTGTCGTTCCTCAGCGTCCTCGAGGTCACGCGCGCCGCGGACCCCTACCTCGCGAGCCGCGCCGACGCCATGCGACCCATGGACGGTCCCTTTGACGGTCTCGAGGCCTCGGACCAGCTTCTTTTCGCCCCGGACGACGACGAGCTCGACGACGTCGACGACGTCCCCCTCGGCGGCGCGGCGTCGTCTTAGGATACTTCCTAAGCGCCGCTCATTTCGCTTTCGCTTTCGCTTCGTTAAAAGTAACATAATCTTAATAAAGGGCTAGTCTATCGAACGCATACTTGGCGTGAGCGAGGTGTGCGGGGGAGGGACGGGCGATGTCCGCGGGCGCGGCTATCCGAGGACGGTCTGCTGCTGGCACTTGGTGCCGTAGTAGCCCGAGAAGCACTTGCACAGACCGGAGTCGTAGTCGCACAGCCCACGTCCGCTGCAGTCGCGGCCCTTGGTGTTGCCGTCGCCCGAGAGCACGTCCGTGCCGGACGGGCACTCCTGGAGCGAGCAGTCCGGGCCGCGGAAGCCGAGGTCGCACACGCAGCCGACGTGCTTCATGGCGTCCCAGGGCGTGTCGTAGGTCGTCGCGGCCTCCGTGGCGAGCTGCTTCTGGGTGTAGCAGATGCCGCGCGCGGAGCAGTCGTTCGGGCAGGACGTGCGCTCGCACGCGATGCCCTCGTAGCCGTCGAAGCACTCGCACTCGCCGCTCTTGCGGTCGCAGATACCCATGTTGGAGCACTCCGTGCTCTCGTGGACGTTGTTCTCGCCGGCGACCGGGTACTTGACCCACGCCAGGTCCATCGGGCACGTGCGCTCGCTGCAGTCGGCCGCCTGCCAGGCCGAGTCGTTGTTGGGGCGGAGGTAGCACGTGCAGCGGTCGTCGGACCCGCACGAGCCGTGGCCCGAGCACCCGTTCGGGCAGTAGGCGGCGACCTAGGAGGAGGGACGGGGTCGGACGCGAGCTCGCGCGGCGCGCGGGGGATATCCCGTCGATCGAAGCCCCGGAGCCCGGCCCTCGCGCGAGGCAGCCCCGCCCGCCACCGCGCGCCCGCCCCGGCCGCCCGCGAGGGTGGATCACCCGCGCGGGGCCGCGGGCGGGCCAGCCGTGCGAGTGGAACAGCTCGATGCGCGGTGCGGGCAGCGGGGCAGCCCCGGGCCGGGGCGAAACGGAGCGACGAGGCAGCGCCCCGCGTGCGCCGCCCGCGCGGCGCGCGGGAGTAGGAGATGGACGCCGGCGTGCACCGAGGCCACGAGGAGGGCGAGCGAGAGCTTGAACATCGTGCGAGACTGTGGTGTTGGTACCGGACAAGTGTGGCTGTGGTGCTCGTTGTTTTTACGGGCTCTCTGTTTCAGTGGATCGTCCGTCGAGATTTGTTTGCAAGGTTGCTGCTCGATCGCCATTTATCTGCCATTTTAGAGCTACCGCAACACGATGCTGCGTCGAGCATCGACGCTGCTGCGGTCGCGTTCGCTGCTGCCGCCGCCGCGCAGCCTCTCGAGCGGCGGGGAAAAGATGCGCGTGTCGCGGCTCATCGCGCAGCGCGGCGCCATGTCGCGGCGCCAGGCCGACGAGGCCATCGCCCAGGGCCGCGTGACCGTCGACGCGTCGCCGGCGCGCGTCGGCGACGTCGCGTCGTCGGACGCGGCCATCATCGTTGACGGGCGCCATGTGCGCGCCAGCGGCGCGTCGGACCCCATCATCTGGCTCGCGTACAAGAAGCGCGGCGAGGCCGTCGAGCGCGAGCGGTCGAGCGGCCGCGACGGCCCGCCGTCCGTGTTCTCGCGGCTCAACCTCGGGCGCCACGCCTGCGCCGTCGGGCGCCTCGACGTGAATTCCGAGGGCCTCCTCGTGCTGACGTCCTGCGGCATGCTCGCGCGGGCCATGGAGCACCCGGACCTCGGCGGGCTGAAGCGCGTCTACGACGTCACGGTGAACGGCTTCGTGACGCCGAAGAAGATCGCCGCCATGCGCCGCGGCGTCACGGTGGACAAAGTGCGCTACCAGCCGCTCACGGTGGCCATCCGCGACGCGCGGCCCAAGCGGGCGACGCTGACGCTGACGTGCCGCGAGGGCAAGAACCGCATGATCCGGCGCATCTGCGACCACCTGCGGCTGCGCGTGTCGCGGCTGCGGCGCGTGGGCTTCGGCCCCTTCCGCGTGGGCCAGCTGCCGGACCAGAACACGGTCGTGCGCGTGCCCGTGCCCAGGCGGCTCCGCGCGTTCCTAAGCGGCGCGGCCTAGGGCGTCTTGTGGAGCATGGACTCGGCCATGCGGAGCGCGGACTCGGCGGACTTGGCGCCCGCGGCCTTGGCGGCGGCCAGGGGCGTGACGCCCGCCGCGTCGGCGCGCTTGACGTCGGCGCCGTTGGACACCAAGACGCGCAGGACGTCGTCGTGGTCGTGGACCGCGGCGTGGTGCAGCGCGGACCGGCCGCCGCCGTCGACGACGTTGACGTTCGAGCCCGCGCCCAGGAGCGCGTCGACGATGTCCGCGCGGCCCCGCGCGGCGGCGGCGTGGAGCGCCGTGAGCGCGGGCGCGCCGTGCGCCGCGTCGACGTCGAGCGCGTCGGGCACGTCCGCGGCGCGCCGGAGGAAGCTCGCGACGATGTGGGGGCTGCCGAGCTCGACGGCGACGAGGAACGCGCCCGCGGGCGCCTCGCCGGCGATGGGCTTCGCCGACGCGCCCTTGAGGAGCAGCGCGTCCACGAGCTCGGGCTCGTCGTCGACGACCGCGGCGACGAGGAGCGTCTTCGCCTCGTCCGCGACGCGCGTCGGGTCCGCGCCCGCCGCCAGCAGCGCGGCGCACACGTCCAAGTGGCCCGCCTTGGCCGCCGCGGCCAGGGGCGTCTCGCCGCCGCCCGGCGCGCCGTTCGGCGCGTCGACCTGCGTGGACATCGACCGCCGGTTCGGGACGTCCCGACTGATGTTTGGACGAATCGATCGCTCTCGTTGAGTTCTCGAAGCACGGTCGACGAGGCTGGTCCGAACCCTTCGATGACGCGCACGTTGAAGTCGGGTCGAAGATTCGAGTTCCGCGCGGGCGTCGACGGCCGCGCCGCACGCTAGAAGCCGCGACACCGCGTCCGGCGCGCCGCGCCGCGCGGCGGCGACGAGCGCCGTGTCCCCGGCGCCGGACCCCGCGCGGAAGTCCACGGGCCAGTTGCCCGCGTCCGCGAGGCGCGCGCACTCGTCGAAGTCGCCGTCCTCGATGGCCGACGCCATCGCGTCGAGCTGCGCGGCCGCGCGCTTGCTGCCCCGCTCGAGGGCGACGTCGCGGGGCGTGCGCTTCCGCGCGTCCACGAGCGTCGCGTCGGCGCCGTGGCGCAGCAGCGCGCCGATGGCCGCGCCCGCGCCCGCGGCGGCCGCCGCGTGGAGCGGCGTCGCTCCTCGCGCGTCGCGGCAGCTCACGAGCGACGCGTCGGCGCCGCAGAGGTACTCGACGAGGTGGGCCCGGTCCCGCGCCGCCGCGTGGTGCAGCGCGCAGCGCCGCTCGTCGTCGAGCGCGGCCCGGAGCGACCCCGCGTCGCGCGTCAACTTCTCGACGCACGCGTACGCGCCCGCGCGGCACGCGGCGAGCAGCGCGGGCTCGCGGTCGTCGCCGTCGGACGCGGCGCGCACGAGGTAGTCGCAGCCCGCGTCGTCGCCCCGGCCCCGCGGCGTCGCCGGCGCGCCGCCGAGCGGGCAGTCGCCGCGCGGGCTCGACGGGCCCGCGCCGACGGTCCGCCCGAAGGCGAGCAGCGCCTCGACGCTCGCGTCGTCGCCGCGCGCCGCCGCCATGTGCAGCGCGCCCCGCAACGCCGGCCGGCCGAGGTCGCCGGCGTCGAGGGCGTCGAGGACCGCTTGGACGACGTCCGCGTCGCGGCAGTCGCACGCAAAGGTCAGCAGCTGCGCGCCCTTGTCGTCGAGGTCGCGCGCGGGCTTCGCGCCGAGCCGCAGCAGCTCGCCGCAGACCTCGAGGCGCCCGTGCGCCGCCGCGACGGCGAGCGGGCTCTCGGGCCCGCGCGCGGTCACGTCCGCGCCGCCCGCCTCGACGAGCGCGACGACGCCGTCGACGTCGCCGCGCGCCGCCGCCGCCGCGAGGGGCGTCGGCCCCGGGGCCAAGTCGTCGCCGCGGCGCGCCTCCACGCGCCCGTCGACGGGCCAGTTGCCGTTCCGCGCGAGCTCGACGCAGCGGTGGAAGTCGCCGTCGAGCGCCGCGTCGGACATCTCGAGGAGCACGCGCGCGCAGGGCTCGTGGCCGCGGTCCACGGCGCTCCGGAGGGCCGTGCCCCCGGCGGCGTCGACTTTTGTGGCGTCGGCGCCCGCGCGCAGTAAGGCCGCGGCCGCGGCCGCGGCGCCCGCGCCCGCGGCGACGTGGAGCGCGGTCCGCCGCGTGCCGCGCTCCGCGCCGTCGAGGAAGGCGCGGTAGGCCGCCTCGCTCAGGGTCTCCCGCGCGGCGTCGGCGAGGGCGGCGACGCAGGCGCGGCAGTCGGCCCGCGCCGCGCGGTGCAACGCGGACCGGCCGTCCGCGTCCGCCGCCTGGGCAGGAAAAGGGTGATTCAACGTCGCTTCAACATGGGTGTTCCGCGCGCGCGCATTCCGGAAACAGCATCCACGCTTCGAGACCGTTCCGAGAGATGATCGCTCGTCCAAAAATCAGCCAAAACGAGTGGGAAACGGCCGAGATAGGAGCCTTTGAAGTTGGGAATTTCGCTCTCTTTTGCTGCCCTGTCCGCCGCCGTCGGCGCGCACCCGGCCGCTAACAGGCGCTTCGCCGCGCGCGCGTCGTCGCGGCCGCTGTTCGCCGCCGCGACCATGAGGGCCGTCACGCGCCGCGACCCGTGGGGCGCGTCCGCGCCGCCGGCGTCCCCGAAGTGCGCGAGGTACGCGTCGAGGACGCGCGCCATCGGGTGCCGCGCGGCGAGCAGCAGGCAGCTCGTCGCGCCGGGCTCCTCGTCGTCCTCGAGGAGGGGCGGCTCGCCGTCGGCGGGATCGCGGCACGCGAGGGGCGGCGCGCCCGCCTCCAGCAGGCGCGCGACGAGCTCGTCGTCGCCGACGAGCGTCGCGACGCGGAGGAGCGCGTCGTCCGTCGCCGAGACGCTCGCGCCGGCCTTGACGAGCGCGAGGGCCGCGCCGAGCTCGCCCGACGCCGTCGCCGCCTCGAGGGCGCTCTCGCCGCCCGCGGACGTCGCCGTCGCCGCCGCGCCCGCGCCCAGCAGCGCGCGCACGGCCTCGGTCGCGCCGCGCCGCGCGGCCGCGACGAGCGCGCAGTCGCCGCCGGCCGCGCCGGAGCCGCGCCGCCGCCGCGCGACGGCGGCGTAGTCCGCGAGCTCCGCGTCCTCGACGGCGGCCGCGTCGTCGTCGTCGCCGTCGTCGTCGTCGTCGGAGGCCGGCGGCGCGGCGAGGCCGGGCGGCGGCGCGGGCGGCACCGCCGACGCGAGGTCGCCCCAGATGTCGTCGTGCGACGGGATAGATGCGGCGATCTCCGTCATCGTTGCCACTGGCTCGATCGATACACGGCGGCGTTTCGGCTAGGCACGATCAATAATGCGAGGCGGCCATATAGCATAGCATTTTGCCGCGAAAGGCACCTCCCGACACATTGATCTGCAATGTCTCTGCAATTGAAGGCACCAACAAACAAACGAGTCAAGCAGCCCGATCTGTTCGGTCCTTTGACCCCAGCGCAATGGAGAACGAAGCCGAAGCGCCGCGCACGATGCAGGAGATGGAGGAGACGCTGCTGCTCCGCGAAGAGGGGTGCCTCAAGGCCCTGCAGCTGGACGACGCGCACGCGCTGCGCCGCGCGCTCGCGGCCGCGGAGATCATCGATGCAAAGCCGCCGCGCTTCCATGATCCGAGCGGTGCCGCCCCGTTCCTGCACGAGGCCGCGGAGCCGCCGCGCTTCCATGATCCGAGCGGTGCCGCCCCGTTCCTGCACGAGGCCGCGGCGCTCGGCAGCGCGGACTGCGTGCGCGCCATGCTCGCGATGGGCGGCGACGCGGACGCGGTCGCGGCGACGTTCGGCGGCGCGACGCCGCTGCAAGTCGCGTGCTTCTTCGGCCCCTCGGTCGCGTGCGCCGAGGCGCTCCTGGCGGCCGGCGCGGCGCTCGAGGTCCGCGGCGAGCCCCGGCGCACGCCGCTGGACATGGCCGCGCACTGCGGCCACCGCGGCCTCGCGAAGACGCTGCTCCGCGCGGGCGCGGACGTCGGCTTCGCGGCCGTCGCCGACGTCGCGGACCCGCGGCGCGTCCGGGCCGCGGCCGCGAACTGGATCACCTGGGGCCGCGAGTCCGCCGCCTGGGACCTCGTGCTCGCCGTCTCGCGCGCCGGCGGCTGGCCGGCCTACGCGGCGCGCCGCGAGCGCGCGCTCGTCGCCGTCCTCGACGCGGCGCTCCCCCGCCGCCTCCCCCACGACGTCCACCTGCTCGTCGCGTCCTTCTGGGCGCCCGAGGGCGGCCACTAGACTGAGGTATGTCGTCGTGGTATAAATGGCGGCCGAGCGCGCTCCCGGGGAGCGCGCGGCGCGACGGGGGGGGGTTCGCGCGGCGCGGCTCGGCGCGGCGGCGCGGCGGCCCCGGGGCCTCCGAGGCCGGGGTCCTCAAGGTTGGTGTCAGGAGACGAAGTGGGGCGTCGTCGGGCGCACGGGGTCGTCGCCGGCGTCCGAGCCGTCGGTCGTCGCGTCGTCGCGGCTCGCCGCGAGGTTCTTGGGCGTGTCGTAGCGCGCCGCGTCAGCCAGGCGGTTCTCCTCCTCGTCCATGGACGTGCGGACCGCCATCTTGCCGTGGGGCGTGCCCGCGTCGCCCCGGATGCGCGGCCGCTGGGGCGCGCCGAAGAGCTCGGCCATCTTCTGCCGCTTCTCGCGGCCCGCGACGATCGCCCGGCGCGCGCGCGCGACCTTGGGGTCGACGTCGGGCGCCTCGCGCACCTTCTTCGCCGCCGCCCGCGCCGGCGCCGCCAGCGGCTCCGCCGCCGTCGCCGGCGCCGAGGGCTCCGAGTACGCGCCCGCGCCCGCGCCGTCGACGAGCGCGAGGCGGCACACGTAGGCCGCGCCGGGCTCGAGGACGCCCTTGCCCCCCGCCGCGTGCGCGGGGATGCGCGCGCGGTGCGCCGCGGCGCGCACGACGACGAGGGCCGCCGGGTCGCCGTCGACGTCGTCCGCGCGGAGGACCTTGACCTTGGCGTGGTGCACCGGCGGGAAGTCGCGCGGCGCGCCGGGCGCCGGCGCGTACGCGTCCGCCGCCCACGTCGCCTCCAGGCCGCCCGCCGACGCGCCGGCGTCGGGGTCGTCGCAGGGGACGAGCGCGGGCGCCGGCGGCGTCGCCGCGCGGCGGCCGCCGAGCGCGTCGAGCATGACGGTCCGCGCGTCGTCGCGGCCCGCGACGCGGCGGTCCGCCGCGCGCGCGACGTCGAGCGCGCAGAGCATGCGGCCGTCGCCCGTGGGCACGAGCTCGTGGCGGCTCGCGCAGTTCGTCGCCGGGTCGCGGTCGTAGAGCAGGCGGACGACCGCGCCGCGGCCCTGCTGCGCCGCGAGGAAGAGCGGCGTGCACCCGGCCGCGTTGCGCTCGTCGACGCGCGCGCCGGCCTCCAGGAGGACCTCGACGACCTGGGCGTGGCCCGCGTAGGCCGCGTAGTGCAGGGGCCGGTAGCCCTCGCCGAACTCCGAGTCGTCGAGCGCGTTCGCGGCCTCGGCGCGCGCGCCCGCGGCGGACGCGGCCGCGCGGACCTCCGCGGCCGCGACGGCGTCGCGCGCGTCGCCGAGCTTCTCGTCGTAGGCGACGGCGATCTCGCACTCGTCGGCCTCGCCGTCGTTGGCCGCGGCGCGCTTCGTCGCCATGGTCGCCGCCTCGCGCTCGAGCGCCGCGAGCCGCTTGCTCGCGAAGCGGAGCTCGCGGCGCGCGCGGACGCCGCCGCCCTGGCCGGCGAAGTCGAGGTGCGCGCGCACGAGGTCGACGTCGCCGCCCCAGCAGGCCGTGTGGACGTCGACGTCCTTGAGCTTCTCGAGCAGCGCTAGCCGCTTATTCAGCTTCACCTCGAGCGCGTGGGACGACGCGCCGCCGCTGCCGTCGTCGCTCACCTCGCAGTCCATCTGCTCGCCCATGGCGCGCGGCGCGGAGCGCGGCACCGAGCGCGATTGCAACGGAGGTCGCGGCGCCGGTGGGCTGCCCGCGTCCTGCGGCAACCTCGCTGCTCCAGCAGGCTGGGTGGGGTTTCGTACGGCCAAGCCGGTTCGGCGGGCGGGAAGGATCCAGCCATAAATACTAGAGGTAGATCGTTCCCCTTCAAGGCGCAACGACCTAATGGGCTGCCATCCCTAGCCGGCGCGGCCATGTCCAGCGACGACAGCGTCGTGCCGCTGTCCGAGGCCATCGCGGACTACGGCGGCGACCACGGGGCCGACGGCCGCTACTCGTGGTCCGAGGGCGACGACCTCGAGCACGAGGAGAGCAGCGCCCAGGAGCGCCTCGCCTGGAGCCTGCAGCAGCGCGCGAGCTCGCGCGCGGCGCTGGCGCTCGAGCTCGCGGCCTGGCCCTGGTGCGTCGCGGCGACGGTGCACCGGCGCGACGCGCGCGCGCGGGGCGACGCCGGTAGCGCCGCGCGGTGGTGGCGGCCCGGCGCGGGCGCGGGCCCGCGGCGGCCCGGCGGCGCGGTCTTCTCGAAATTGCGGCGCCTCGACGTCGGCGACGTCCACGGCGCGCGCTGCGAGGTCCTGCGCACGCTCGGCGCCTCCATCATCGAGCGCGACGACGACGACGGCTGGGCCCTGAGCGCGGAGGGCGTCGCCGTCGAGGCGCTGCTCGCCGGCGGCCCCGCGCACGAGTCCGCGGCGCTGCCCGACGACGTCGCCCGCAACGTCTGGGCCGTCGCCAAGTGGGACGCGTCGCCGACCTGGGGCCGCGCCGTCGCCGGCGCCCTGCGGGGCCTCTGCGCGGCGAACGGCGGCCCCGAGGCCGTCGTCCGGCGGCTTTTAGGCGCTCGGCACGGCCCGCCCCGGCTCCTCGCGGCGCTGCTCGCGGCGGCCCTGAGCCCCGGCGTGCCCGTGCCGGCGGCGTCGCGCCTGGACTGGGTCGACGCGGCCATGGACTGCGGCTGCCTGCGCCGGCGGCGCGCCGCGGATCTAGAAGACGGCGCGGCCGCGCCGGGCCCGCTCGACGACGACGTTGAGGTCGTCGCCGACGACGACGATTTGGACTCGCCGCGCTACGGCGAGACGCCCAAGTCCCCGGCGGCGCCGCGGACGCTGCTGCGGCGCCGCGTGCCCAACTGGAAGCTCACGTGCGCCGCGCGGCACGCGGTCGGGCGCCTCGCGGGCGCCGCGGGCGCCCGCGGCCGCGAGAGATGGTGGGACGACGGCGACGGCCGCGGCGGCCCCCGCGCGCGGGCCGAGCGCTTCTCCCGGTGGTGGTACGTCGTCCGGTCGCCGTCGGCCTTCGCGCGGCACCGGCCCTGCGCGGCGCCGGGCCGGAAGCGCGAGAGCGTCCCGGGCTACGAGGCGCCGGGCGCGGCCCTCGACGCCGAGGACGCCTGCGACACGGGCAGGGCGCTCGGCCCCGGCGCGACGGCGAACGCGTCGGGCCTCGGCGACGGCGGCCTCGCGGCGCTGCCGCGCGGCGACCCGGACGCGTGGGCCGCGCTCCTCCGCGCCGTCGGCGGCGGCCTCGGCGCGGCGCTCTTCGGCGCGGCGCCCGGCGCGTCGTCCTACGCGCGGGACGCCGGGCCCGAGGCCTGGCTGCGGCCGCCGCGGCTCGCGCTGCCCGCGGCCGCGGACGCGTGGGCGCGCGCGGCGCCCTGGGCGCGCGCGGCGCTCGCCTTCGGCGACGTGCCCGCGGCGGCCTGGCGCGAGGATTCTGGCGACTACGGCCCGGAGGCCTTCGTGCTCGGGCGGCCGGGCCCGGGGTCGACGCTCCTGCTCCAGCTGCTGGCCGCGGCGCCCGCCGAGGGCGCGGGCGCGATCGCGCGCGTCCTGGAGTCGGCCGTCGCCGCGCGCGACGCGCCGGGCGTCCGCGCGGCCTGCGCGCTCGCCGTCGCCGCGCTGCGGGCGCCGGCGTCGAGCGCGGTCCGCGGCAACGACGGCCCGCGCGCCGCGTGCCCGCCCGCGCTCGCGTGCCTCCTCGCGGACGGCGACGGCGACGTCGACGACGACGCGGCGCTCGAGCGCGCGGCCGAATGGACGCCGCGCCAGGCCGCGGCCTGGTGCGCCTGCGCGACGGCGAGCTCCCAGGCCGGCGGCGCGACCGCGCGCGCCGTCGAGGCCGAGCTGTCGCTCGCGGCGTCGCTGTCGCCCGACGACGTCCGCGACCTCTTCTCGGGGGATTTGGACGCGCGGGCCGCGGTCCTCGACGGCCGCGTCGACGCGCTGACGCGCGTCGACCTCGAGCGCGAGCTCCGGAGTTTGGACGACGCGCGCGCGACGGCGCCCGCGGGCCTCGCGGCCGCGCGGGGCGACGTCGCGCGGGCGCTCGCGGCGTCGCGCGACGGCGGCCCGCCGCCGTTGGCCGCGACGCTGGCCTTCGCGGCCGCGACGGCGTCCGGTGCGCTGCTCGACGCCGAGGACCAGTGGGACGGCTTCCGCCTCGCGGCCGCGCCGGCCGGGGCCTGGGCGACGGCCTGCGAGTGCCTCGCGCTGTCGTCGACGGCGCTGCGCGCCTGCGACGACGCGGCGCTCGACGCGCTGTTGGGCCCCGCGGCGGAGGCGCTCGACGCCTACGTCCGGGCCGTGCTCCAGGTCCGGAAGAAGGTCGACGCCGCGCGGAAGCGGGCGACGGCGCGGCGCCGGCGCGGCGGCTCCGAGTCCGACGAGTCGTCGGCGGAGAGCCCCGACGAGGACAAGGCCGACGAGGAGGCGGACCGGCGGGAGCGGGACCTGCTCGGCTTGGCGGCGCGGACGCGGGCCCCGGACGGCGAGCGCGCGTTCCTGGACAAGGCCTGCCCCCGGGGCGCGGCGCTCTTCTCGCCGCTGCCCTCCTACGCGGCCGTCGTCTTCGCCTGCGAGCTGCTCCACGGCCTGCGGCGGCGGGACGCGGGCGAGGCCGTCGCGCGCGCGCGCGCGTCCGCGACGCGCGTCGTCGGCGTCGTCTTCCGGGGCCTCGACGACGCGACGTGCGCGTGGCTCCGGGACCTCGGCGGCGCCGCGGGCGACCTCAAGGCGGGCCGCTGCGTCGGGCTCAAGGCCGCGGCGTTGGCGTCGGACCCGGCCTGCGCGGACCGGTGCGCGACGCCCCTCGTCGCGTCGTTGAAGCAGCGGCAGGCGACGGCGACGATGCGCGGCGCGCTGGGCCTGGGCCCCGCGGGCTGGCGTCTGCGGGACGCGTCCGCCGGCGGCGTGTCCCTGGCGCCGCGGGACGACGCCGAGGACGCCGCGGAGGACGTCTTTGTGGAGGTCGCGTCGTCGAAGACGACCCGGTGCCGCCGCGGGCGGGGCGTCGCGCGCGACGCGCACGCGCTGCGGAAGGCGCTCGCCCGGCTCCACGGCGCCTGCGCCTGCGACGGGGAGCTCGCGGCGCGCCTCGGCGAGGTGCTGCCCTGCCTCGCGGCCGCGCGGCTCCGCTGGCCGCGGCCGCCGCCCGCGCACGGCCGCCGGCCCTGGAGTTTGGGGGGCAACGAGGCGTGGTGCGCGTTCGACGCGCCGCCGGCGCACCGGCTCCGGCGCGAGCCGAAGCTGCGCCGGTCGTCGTCGGACGCGCGCGCGAACGTCTTTGCCATGGCCAAGGACGACGGCCGGTGCGTCGGCGACGGCGTCGCGGCGCTCGCGGCCGAGGCCGACGCGCGGAAGACGCTCGACGGCCAGCGGACGACGCCCTTGGACGGCGCGATGCTGGGCCTGGCCCTCGTGCCCGACGCCGCGCGGCCCGCGGCGGCCTTCGCGGCGCCCGGCGCCGCGCGCGGCGGCGGCGGCCGCGGCGACGACGACGAGGACGCGGCGTTCCGCGGCGCCGCGCGCGCCGCGGCGCTGCCGGCCGTCGGCGCGGCGACGCGGAGCCGCGTCGCGCCGCCCGGCGACGCGTCGCCGGAGCGCTGCTGCGACCTAGATGCGGTGGACGTGCGCCGCGACGCCCGGCGGGGCGACGCGCGCGCGGAGGCCGCCGTCGACGAGCTCCGGTTCCGGAGCGCGTGGACGACGTGGCTCTGCGGCAGCTCGCGGCCCGCGCGGCGCGCCGCGCTCGGCGCCTACAACGGGAGCGACCGCGGCGACACGCTCGGCGAGTACCGGTTGAAGCTCTGGCTGTCGCGGCTGCTGTCCGACGCCGCGCGGCGCGCGGGCGACCGCGACCCGTCGAGCGCGCAATCGGGCGACGGCGGCGGCGGCGCCGCGCGGCGGCTTTTGATGCTCCAGATGCTCGGGCCGAACCTCGCCGACGCGGCGGCGGCGGCGGCCTGCCGGCGCCTCGCGGACGCGGGCGCCGTCGTCGACGGCGAGGGCGCGTTCCCGCTCTTCGACGCCGCGAAGAACGGCCGCGCGCGCCTCGCGGCCGCGCTCCTCGAGGCCGGCGCGCCGCCGCGCGCGCCGCCGGGCGAGTGCCTCGTCGGCGCGGCGCGAAGCGCCCGGGCCTTCGAGCTCGCCGAGGAGCTCCAGGCCGCGGGCGCGAAGCGCTCGTTGCCCTGGCCGGACCCCGCGCGCGGCCCCGGCGCCGTCTGGCCCGGCTGCGATCCCGACGACCTCGCGCCGGCGGAGGACGTCGACGCGGAGGAGGACGAGGACGAGGAGGAGGACGGCGGCCCGCCGGACACGACGCTGCCCTGGGAGTGGGTGCCCGACTCGGCGGCCGCGGTCCGCGCGCTCGCGAAAGCCGGCTGCGACGTCCGCGCGGGCGGCGACGCGCTCCTGCACCACTGCGTCCGCTACCGGCTCCTCGACGCCGCCGAGGCGTTGCTCGAGGCGGGCTGCGACGCGAACGCGCGGGACGGGGCGAACCTGACGCCCCTGCACTACGCGTGCGGCGCGCGCGTCGTCGAGGCGCCGCCGCGCGCGCCGCGCGGCGACGACGACGACGTCAGCGACGACGAGGCCGCGCTCGAGCGCGCGCGGGGCCGCGCGGCCTGGCCCCGGCCCCGGGGGCGGCGCCTCACCGTCCCGGAGGGCTGTCGGCCCCTCGCGACGACGTCGCGGCCCGTCGCCGGCGCGCCCGCGGCCGCGGCGCGCGGTGGCGTGCCCGCGGAGCTGCGCCTCGGGTCGCCGAGCGCCGAGGCCGCGCGCCTGCTGCTCGCGCGCGGCGCGGACCCCGAGGCGGCCTGCGGCTTCGGCACACCGCTCGCGGTCTGCCTCCGGGCCGCCGCGGCCGCGCGCGGCGACGCGGTGGGCCGCCGCGACGACGCGTGGTACGAGGGCGACGCCGCGGCCGCGTCCGCCCAAGCCTGGGCGCGCGGCGCGCCCCTGGACCGGGCCCACGGCCTCGTCGACGCCGTCAACGCCGCGCGGCACCCCGGCGCGAGCGCGCTCGCCGCGGCGAGCGCGGCGGCCGCGGCCCGCGGCGACAAGCGCGCGCGCGCGCTCGCCGCGGGCCTCGCCATGGCCGCGGCGGTCGCGAGCGCGCCCCTGGACCCGCACGCGCGCGCGGCCCTCGCCGAGGCGTCGTCCCTCGCCATCGTGCGCGGGCTCCTGGACCGCGGCGCGGACGCGGCGAGCTTCGCGGGCGAGGCCTGGGCGAACCCGGTCGCGTGCGCCGCGGGCAGCGGCCAGGGCGACGCCCTCGAGGCGCTGCTCGAGGCCGGCGCCGACGCCGCGGCGGCGGACGCGTCGGGCGCGACGGCGCTCCACGCGGCCGCGGGCGGCACGGACCGCGGCGACCCGGACGAAAAGGCGACGTCGCGGCCGCCGTCGCCCGCCGCGCGCGTCGCCGGCCGCGCCGCCGCGGGGCGCTGCGCCGCGGTGCTCCTCGGGGCGCTGCCCGGCGACGTCGTGGCGGCTCGGGGCGGCGCGGCGCCGGCGACGGCGCTCGTGCACGCCGCGCGGAACGGCCACCTCGACGTGTGCCGCGCGATCGCGAACTACGGCGAAGCGGCGCCCGACGCGGCGGCGGCGCTGGCCCTGGCGTCGGCGGCGGCGGCCGGGTGCCGCTGCGGCGACGCGACGCAGGTCGGCCGGGCGCTGGAGCTCCTGCAGGCGCTGGGCGACGGCGGCGGCGCGGCCGCGTTCCGCGGCGTCCTCGCGCGGCCCGGCGCGGTGCCGCCGCCCCAGCTCTGCGTGATCACCGACGCCGCCGCCGCGCTCGACGCGCTCCGGCGGCTCGCGCCGCCGGACGTCTGGATCGCGGCGCCGCCGCCGCCCGCGGCCGCGGCGGAGCCCGCGCGCGCGCCGGCGGCGACGCCGCCGGCGACGAAGTCGGCCGCGCCCGACGCGCTCGACCTCTTCGAGGCGTCGCCGGCCAAGGGCGCGAAGACGCCCGTGCCCAAGCTGCGCTTCTCCGACGAGCCCGCGACGCCGGCCCCGAAGCGGGACGACGCGGCGCCGCCGCCGCCCGTCGTCGTCGGACGACGCGAGTACGGAGCCGCGCTCGTCCACGCGGTCGTCGCGCGCGCGGCGGGCTGCGCCGCCGTGCTCCTGAGCCTGCTGGACGTCGTCGGCCCGAAGCGGGCCGCGCGCGAGGCCCGGGGCGCGCTGAGCGCCGCCGAGGACGCGCTCGGCCTCCGCGACGCGCGGACGGGCGAAACCGTCGGCGCCGCGCTCCTCGGCGAGGCGTCGCGCGGCGCGGCGCCCTGGGCGGGCGACGGCCCGCCGGACCTCGCGGGCCTCGGCGCGGCGGTGCGCGCGTCCCTCGAGGAGCGCTTCCCGGAGCAGGCGGCGGCGGTCCTCGGCCGCGCGGCCGTCGACGCGTGGCGCGCGCTCGAGGCCGCGGTCGCGGGCGGGTCCGTCCACGGCCGCTCCGACGCCGCGGCGGCGGCGGCGGCGCGCGCCGTCGTCGCCGACGCCCTCGGCGGCGGCCGGGGCCTCGGCCGCGCGCCCTGCGCGCCGCTGAGCACGCTCCGGCCCGACGCGCACCGCGACCGCGCGTTTCGCTGGGCGCCCCTCCAGGCGGCGACGAAGCTGAGCCGCGCGGGGTCGAACCGGCTCTCCGTCGCCGTCGCCGGCGCCGGCAGCGACCCGCGCGCCGCGTGCCGCGCGCGCTTCGACGCCGAGCCCGCGGCGCCGCCGCTACTCGCGAGCTTGATCCTGTCCGCGGCCGGCGGCGGCGCGCCGCGGCGCCTCGAGGCGCTCCTCGACGCCGCGGTCGCGAGCCCGTCCTGGAGCCTGCGGGAGGCCGTCGGCTGCGGCCCGACGGACCGGCGCTTCGACGGCCACTGGCGCGACGCGCCGCGGCGGCGCACCGCGCTCCACGCGGCCTGCGCGTCCGGCTGCGCCGACGGCGCCGCGGCGCTCGCCCGCGCCTTCCTCAAGCACGACCCCGCCTACGCCGCCCGCCTGCCGTCGCTGCCGGACGCCCTGGGCCAATCGCCGCTGGGAGCGTGCGCGGACCGCGCGGGCGGCGACGACGCGGGGAGCGCGCGCTGCGTCGCCGCGCTGCTCGCGCTCGGCGCGGACCCGGACGCCCGCGACGTGCGCGTGCGGCGCGACGCGGGGCCCGTGGCGAGCGTCTTGGCCGCCTGCGTCGGCGCGCGCGCCGCGCGGGTGTGGGGAGCGCCGCCGCTCCACGAGTGCCTCCGCCGCGGCGCGCCGCGGACCGCGCGCGAGCTGCTCGCGGGCGGCGCCGACGCGACGCTGCCCTTCCTCAAGCGCGCGGAGAGGCGCGGCGACGACGTCTCCGCGCGCGACTGGGCGCTGGGCTCCGGCGACACGGCCGCGACGTGGCGGCGCGCCGTCGCCGCGTACGTCCTCGACGCGCCCCGGGACGTGTCCTCGGCAGAGGTCGCCTGCGACGACGCGCGGAGCCCGCTCAACTCAATTCTGCGGTTGGGCGAGGCGCCGGTCGCCGCGGAGCGCAGCGGCCGCGTCGCCGCGATCGACTGCGCGGAGCTCCGCGCGCGCGTGCTGAGCTTCGACCCCTCCGACGCTCACCGCGCCGCCCCGCCGCTGCCGCGGCCCGTCGCCGAGGCGATCGCGCGCGCCTTTGCGACGTGCGCCGGGGGCGGCGACGGCGTCGCGCTCGCCGTCGCGGCCAAGTTTCTCGCGTCCAGGCGCGCGCGCGCGCTCCTCGTCGACGCGCCCCACGGCCCGCGCCTCGCTCTGGGGCGGGCGGACGAGACGAGCGGCGTCTCCGCGGCCCTGGCGCGGCGCGCGGTCCGCCGGGAGGCGCGCGGGCGCCAGAAATTGGACTCCGCGGGCTTCGAACGCGCCGTCCGGTTCCTCCTCGGCGCGTTCGCGCCGCTCGCGGAGACCCAGGACGGCTGCCCCGTCGCCGTCGCCCTGGAGCAGCGCGACCGCACGGGCGCCTGGGTGCCGAGCGACGCCCTCGGCGGCGACGCGCGGAGCGTCGTCGACGGAGGCGTCGCGTTCGGCCGCGACGGCGCGGCGCTGACGGTCCCCGAGAAGTTCCGGGGCACCGTGCGCCTCGTGCTCTCGGAGTCGACGCGCCCGCGGTCGACGCAGAGCTCCGCGGGCGCGTCGCCGCCCTTCGCCATCACGCCCGCGCCGCCGCGCGCGCGCCGCGTCGCGCTCGAGTCGCCGGCGACGGCCGTCGCGGGCGCGCCCATCCCGGGCCTCGCGGCGCGCGCGACGGACACGCGGGGCCGGCCCGCGCGCTGCGGCGACGAGCACGTCGTCATCTGCTGCCGCGTCGACGGCGCCAAGGGCGAGGACTGGACGCCGCCCGCGAAGTTGGACTACCGCGGCCGCGCGGACGCGAAGCTCTCCTTCGCCCGGGCGGGCGCCTACGTGCTCCGCGCCAAGGTGCTCGGGCCCCGGGGGCTCGCGCTGCTCAAGCAGGGCGGCAGGTGGGCGCGCGAGGCCGTCGCCGTGTCCGACCCCGTCGCGATCTCCGTCGCCGCGGGGCCGCCCGAGACCGCCAAGGTGCGCCTCCGCGACGACCAGCGCACGATGCTCGCCGGCGCGCCCCTGCCGACGCCGGCCGTCGACGTCCTCGACGCCTTCGGCAACGTCTGCGAGGACTTTATCGGAAAAGCGACGCTTTCCGCGCGCCGCGTCGCGGCCGCGAAACCGCCGAACCTCGTGACCGCGCGCGCGCCGCCGCCGAGGAAGGCCGGGCCCCAGGAGCTCACGCTGTCCCTGCGCAAGGGCCGCGTCGCCGTCGAGGACGCCAAGGCCTGCGCGCGGAAGCTCGCCGAGGACGCATCGTTCCTCTCCGGCGCGGCCGGCGACTACCGGTGGTTCGCCGAGGTGGCCCCCGCGACCCCCGGGCAAGCGGCGCTCCGGGCGTCGTCCGACGCCTTCAAGGTCAAGTGCTCCTACGCCGCCGAGTACGCGGTCTTCACGGAGGGCCCCGTCGTCGCGGGCCGCGGCGGCCGCTTGGGGGTGGCGCCCGTGGACCGCGCGGGCAACGTCGTCGAGGCGCACGCGCCCGCGCGCGTCCACGTCGAGGTCTGGGCCACGTCCGTCGCCCTGCCGCCGGACGCCCACCCGCGGGCCGTCGAGATGGGCGAGACGCGCGCGAACGGCGTTTTGGAGCTCGCGCGCGTCACCGCGGCGCGCGCCAAGGTCGACAAGCTCGGCGAGCGGCTCCTGGCGGACCTGAAGCGCGAGCGCGACAAGGGCGCCCTGTCGTCGCCGCGCAAGGAGGCGCTCCTCGTCTGGGAGACCGTCTTCGACGCCGCGCGGGGCGCAACGTTCGCGGACGCGCCCGCGAGCGTCTTCGAGCGCGCGGGCTCGTACGTCGCCAAGGTCCACGCGAATCTCTCGAAGGCCTCGGGCGCGTCGCCGCGCCTGAGCGCCAAGGCCGGGCCCCACCGCGCGACGAGGGAATTGCACATCGCCGTGACCGCGGGGCCGCCCGCGGCTTTGGACGTCGCGCTGCCCAAGGGCCTCTTCGAGTGCGACGAGCGCGTCAGGGCGCGCGTCCGCGTCGTCGACAAGCTCGGGAACCTCTGCTCGGGGACGCACTACACGGCCTTCGTGACCCTCGAGCTCTACGAGGTCCGCGAGGACCCGGCGAAGCGGGAGACGGTGACGGAGGACGACGCAGACGAGGCGGAGCACGACACGACGCAGGTCGACGCGCCGGCGACGGACGCACCGCTCCCCGAGGCGGCGAGCGGGGCCGCCGTTTCGAAGGAGGAGGCGAAGAAGAGCGCCGCGCTCGCGGAGGTCGCCGCCGCCGCGGTCAACGCCGCGAAGAAGCGGGAGAAGCCGCCGGCGAAGTTCCTCCTGGGCACGAAGCGCCAGTTCCCCGCCGTCGCCGCGGCCAAGGGGCCCCTGGGCAAGGAGGCGGCGAAGCACAAGGGCCTCGACACCGTCGACGGCGTCGCGGACTTCGCGGGCGTCGACGCTCGCTGCGCGGGCGCGGGCGCGTACTGCGTCGTCGCGCGGGGCAAGGTCTGGCTCGCGGGGGGCAAGGCGTCCGTCGACGTCTGCGGCGCGTCGCCCCTCTTCGACGTCGTCAACGGCCCGCCGGCGAAGATCAGCTTCGCGCCCGACGCGTCCAAGGCCGTCTTCCCGCCGCCCGACGACCGGCTCCTCGTCGCCGAGGAGCTCTGGACGAGCGTGCTGCCGACCTTCAAGGTCACGGACGCCGCGGGCCACGTCGTACGAGCCTCGGACGCGGCGCCCTTCACGATCTACCTGACGATCATGCGCTGCGCGTCGGAGAACGTCGACGGCGACGCGACGGAGCGGGTCCGGCACGCGGCCGCGATCGCCAAGCTCCAGGAGGAGCAGCGGCTGACGAGGACCTGGTGCCCCATGCTCCTGGGCATCACGGCGAAGACGTTCAAGGCGTCGCCGGAGGGCCTCGCGGCCTTTGACGCGTCCGAGGAGCTCGCGGCGCCGCTGCCCGGCCGCTACCGGCTCAAGGCGTCGCTGATGACGCGGTCCGGCGACATGGGCGAGTGGGCCCACGTCGCCCGCTGCTTCTCGCGGCCCTTCGACGTGGTGCCGCCCCTGGACTGGCTCGACGACGACCAGCGGCCCGACGACCCGGCCGCGCCGCGGACGATGCCGAAGGAGAACCCGTGGCTCGCGAACGCGTGCTGGTTCCACGCCACGGAGGAGGAGGTGGCGCACATCACGGAGACCCTGGCGAAGATCGAGAAAACCGAGAAGGAGATCGCGGAGCTGACGGAGCGGAAGCGCGTCGCGGAGGAGAAGACCGCGCGGAATCTCGACCGGTGGGCGGCGGAGAAGGCCGCGGCCACCGCCGCGGGCCGCGCGCTCGTGGACCAGTGGCTCGAGCGCACGGGCGGCAAGAAGAAGGAGTACGCGCCGAAGCCATCGGAGGACCGACCGGGCTTCAAGAGCTACGACCCGCCGCACGCGGGCCTCCGCGTGGACCAGGAGAAGCAGCGGTGCCTCGCGCTCGCGCGCTACAAGTTCATCCTGAAGAAGGACCTCGAGGAGGTCAAGGCCGACCTGAAGAAGCAGAAAGCCTTGGCGCAGGAGCGGAAGAAGAAACTCCCGTTCTCGAAGCCGCCGGCGAAGACGAAGGACGACGAGGCGGACGACGACTTCGACCCGGAGGAGCCCGTCAAACACATGGACGACCTGGCCTGCGGCCTCATCCCCCGCGACGTCATCGAAAAGCTCGTCGACGACCCGAACCTGCCGGGGCGGCCCGCGGCGGCCTACGGCGCCTGCGACAAGCGCGAGGCGCTCGACGCGGTGACCGCGGCGCTCAGGCGAGGCCGCGCGCCGCCGGACGCCGCCGCGGACCTCGAGGACGAGGCGCGCTGCGCGGCGCGCGACGGCGCCTACGCCGCGGCCGTGCGCGGCGCCGGTGAGTCGCGCAAAGCCGTCGTCGAGGCGCACGACTTCCTCCGCGCGTCGTTCATCCGCCAGTGCCGCCAGTGCCGCGACGCCAAGGACGACAAGAAGCTCAAGCACTCGCTCCAGGTCAACCTCGGCGGCTACGACCACGTGAAGCGGCTCGCCGCCGAGGCCCTCGTCTCCGCGGCGGAGCGCGTCGACGCCATCCTGGGCAAGCACCGCGCGCGCGCGCGCGACTGGGCCGAGGTCGACGCGATCACGGCCGCGCGCGTCACGCCGACCGAAAAGCGCAAAAAGCAGATGATCGGCGGCGACGACCTCTTCGCCCAGTGGGCGCGCTGCGCCTTCGACCACATCATCGCCGACTACGTGCGCGCGTTCAACCACAAGGCCGCGGAGACGCGCCACTTCCGGAAGCTGCCGTCGGGCCACGCGTGCGACGGGCGCTTCCTCGAGAGCCCGACGACGGACAAGGGCGTGCCGACGGGGCCCCTCTACAGCCGCGCGGCCGTGTCCTTCGCGGACCCGCTCGCGCTCGTCGCCTTCTTCGACGCGCTCGCGGATCCGGACCGGCGGTCCAGGGACGCGGGCGGCCGAAGCCGGGACGACGGCCCCGCGGTCCACTTCGACGTGCTGGCGCTCTACAACGGCCTGCGGAGCGAGACGGCCGCGGAGCACGCGGACCACGAGCACGCGGACCGCAAGCGCGCCAAGTCCTTCACGGCGCGGAAACCGAAGCGCCAGACGTTCGCGGACCCGCGGAACTGCGCGCTGCTGCTGAGGCTGCGGCGCTTCGGCTGCGACTTCGAACTGAGCCTGGGCCTCCACGACGTCGAGCCCTTCCGCGTCGACGCGCGCGAGTACGACCGCCTGGCCGGCGCCCTCACGAAGGACACGTGGAACGACTACTTCGCGCCGACGTTCGACGACCGCGCGGAGCTGCGGACGAGCCCGGAGGAGGCCGCCGCGAGCTTCAAGGAGACGAGGAAAACTTAAGACAACCCGTTTGTTTACACGCACGCCGTCGTGCCGGTCCGCGTCGGGCGAGCCGGAGCTGGGCAGCGATGGTGCGTGGGTGAGGTCGACGTCGACACAGGGGGCGTCGACGTCGGCGGCGGCGTCCGAGGATGCGCGGGTATACCGACGGTATATGCCGGTATATACCCGTCCCGCTAGGTCCGGTTCTTCCGGCCGGTTTACTTCGTGAGTTCGGCGAGCCCGTCTAAAACGTCCACTGGCCCGTCACTGCTCACGAGTCCGCGAGGCCTCGGCACTCGCGAGGCCTCGACCATAGCGATGGCGCGCGACGACCGTCGCGGTCACGCGACGGCGCGCTCGCCAGGACGTCGCGTCTCGAGGCTCGTGCGCCTTCTGATCCTCGGCGCCGCAGTCTATCTCTGCGCGTGCCTCTACTTCGGTGCAGCGGCCTCCTACGGCGACACGACGGCGATGCGCGGCGGCGCCGCCGCCGCTGCGCCGCGCGCCTTGGAGTCGCCGACGGCGAAGGAGGCCGCGCCGGTTCCCGAGAACGAGGACCCGCGCGCGCAGAACAAGGACCTGCACGCCGAGAACGAGGACCTCCGCGAGCGCCTCGCGGCGGCGGAGGCGAGCCTCGAGCTCGCGAAGTCTCGCGCATTGGAGCCCGCGCCGCGCGCCTTGGAGCCCGCGCGCGCCTCCTACGGCGACACGACGGCGATGCGCGGCGGCGCCGCCGCCGCGCCGCGCGTCTTGACCGCTCGCGAGGGTCGCGCGCCGAGGAGCCTCGACGTTTATTTGATCGTCGCGGGCGTCCAGAAGTGCGGCACCTCGGACACGCCGCCGCAGCTCCCGAGGCGCACGAAGCTCATGGGCCCGGCGGTCACCGCGCGCGTCTCGCGGACGACGAAGTCCATCATGGGCCCGCCCATGCCCGTCGCGACGACGGACACGGGCACGCCGCCGTAGGTCGACGTGAAGGTCGTGAAGCCCCGGGCGCTCGTGAGCTCGAAGCCCGGCGCGTCGAGGAGGCCGCGCAGGAGCGTCGCGCGCGACAGCGACCCGACGGAGACGACGCGGTTCGCGACCTCGCCGGGCGCGAGGCCCAGGTGGTGCACGCGGCCATTTTCCAGCGGGACGCCGTTCGTGTTCTCGTAAAAACCGGCGCCCATCGTGTCGATGCTCTTGCCGCAGATCGCCGATTTCTTCACCTCCGAGCTGCAGCAGTGGCTGAAGCGCTTGCCGAGGGTGCGGCACAACAACCTCGAGCCGCACTTCTTCGATTGCCTGGCGGGGGGGCCGTGCGACAAGCGCTGCGTCCCCGGCGCGTTTCGGCCGGGCGGATGCCACGGACAGCGGTACGTTTTGAACAACGAGACGCTCGACGCGTATCGGCGCGACTTCAAGCCCTTGGCGATCGCCGAGGGTCCGAAGACGCGCGCGTTGGAGATCGCGGACGCGTCCGGCGAGGCGCTCCCGTGGCTGCACTTCGAGAAGACGCCGAGCTACTACGACTGCGCGGACAGCGCGCTCATGCGCGCGACGCTCCCGAACGCGCGCGTCGCGTTCATCCTGCGCGACCCGGTGGCGCGCCTCTGGAGCGGCTACTTCCACATGCACGAGACCCGGATCCGCGTCGCCGCGCGCCGCGCGGCCTGGACCGCGAAATTCGGCCCCTCCGCGACGATTCCGCGTCACTGGCCCGCCGACGTCGCCTATGATATGTACGACGCGAACGTGTCGCGCGCGCTCGCGGCCGACTTCGACGCGAGCCTCGCGCGCGCGCTCGCGCTCCGCGGGCTCGGAGCGGACCACCGCGAATGCCTGCCGCGGCCCGCGCGCGACGCGCTCGCCGGATTCCGCAAGGCGCGCAAACCGGAGATGATGGAGCGCCAGCTCGACCTGGGCCGCTACGCCGCGTACCTCCGCGGCTGGAGCGCGGCCTGGGGCGCGTCGAACGTGCTCGTCGTCTTCCTCGAGGTCCTCGCGACGCGGCCCGTCGACGTGCTCAACTTCCTCCTCGAACCGCTGCGCCGCCCGCTCGTCACGGAGACCATGCTCGCGGCGCGGACGCGGGAGAATGGCGATGGCTTCGCGGTCGCCAATTCCAAGGCGCTCCATGACGACCGGAAGGCGTGGGTCGGCAAAATGGGGGCCGCGTCCTACGCGACGGTCGAGGCGTTCTACGAGAGCGACACGGCGGAGCTGCGCGCGGCGCTCCTGGCGCGAGAGCTCGTCTACCCCGTGCCCCGGGACCTCCTTCCGCCCTGGCTCTTCGGGGCGAGGTCAAACGCGTCGCGGTGATATACATCTTACGCCGAGAGGCAGCCGCGCGTGTCGTGGGGCGCGCCCGTGGCGCGGTTGACGACGCGATTCCAGGTCGCGTCGTAGAAGGCCGCGGTGTCGCAGGTCGCGTAGAGGGCGGCCTGGGCCGCCGTCGGCGGCGTGACCCTCTCGAGGAACGCGTCGTAGTTTCGGTCCGAGCCGCGTCTGACGTGTTTACCGCGGCACGTCGCGTCGAAGGAAAACTCGGGGAGGAAGTCCGCGACGATGCCCTCCCACTCGGCGGTGTCCTCGACGCGCGTCACGAGAGCCGCGTGCGTGCCGCCGCGCGCGACCGACCGCCGGCCGTCGAACGGGGTCAGCGTCGCGTTCAGCGTCTCCGCGAGGCGCGAGAAGAACGTGCACGGCCCGCGGCCCGGCGCGTGGCGCCTGCCGTCGAGGACGCTCCAGCGGAGCGTGCGCTCGTTACGCGCCTTGCATCGCGGCGGCGTCGGCGCGGTCGCAGCCGCGCGCGTAGAATCTGGCGTTCTCCCAGAACGCGGACGGCGTCCGCGTCGCGAAGTCGCGAGCGATCGACCAGACGACGACGTCGCGCGAGCACGCGAGCACGCGGCGCGCGACGTGCTCGTCGTGCGTCGCGACGAGAAAGGCGAGCTCGTCGCAGGGCTCCAGGTTCGACACCTCGCGCCGGAACGCCGTGGTGTAGCCAGCCTTCTCGTAGGCGCACCGAATCGCCTGAGTGTTGACCTTCCCATACTCGAAAAGCAGCCGCCGCACGCCCACGCCCCGCGCCGCGGTCGGGGCCTTGAAGTCGCGCCGAGACGCGTCGAGCGTTTCCACGCTCAATTCGTACCGCTCTCCGTGGCATCCGCCCGCCAGAAGCGCGACCAAGGCCCACGCGAGCCACATCGCGACAAAAAATGGATTCACCGCAAGGGTTTTGGATCGCCAAAGACGGTCTCCAATGGAGGCCTGGAGGCTCCATGACTGGCTCAAAGCCTCCCGACAAACGCAGTGTTCAAACATACACACATAAATTAGACGCGCCCGCGGGCCTCCGTGAGCGGGTCGGGCGGCGTCCACCGGCTCTCGCCCGTGGTCGCGTTGTAGTAGTAGGGGTGGTCGTGCTCGGGGTCGTGCCGCACCTCCCAGGCGCTGAGCACCTCCGCGCTCGGGATAGTCTCCGCGTTCGGGTTCGTCCAGGACGTCTCGCCCGTGGACGGGTTGTGCCAGTACGCGCGGCCGGTCGCGGGATCCTCGAGCTCCTCCCACGCGTCGCGGATCCTCGTCTTCGACTCGTAGGTGGGGCGGCGCATCGGGTTGGCCCCGGCCACGCGCGGCGAATCGGCCTGGAAGACCGCCTCGACCGTCGGCGCCGGCGACTTGGGAGCCGGCGCCGACGCGCTCCGCGCGGCCTTGGCCGCCATGGGGTTGGCGAAGTTCCCGATCGACGTGCCCGCGACGGAATTCCGGAAGACGCGCTCGACGGTCGGAGCCGGCGACTTTCCCGCCGCGGGCGACTCGAGCCTCCCCGCGGTCGACTTGCGCGCGGCCATCGGGTTGGTCTTCGTCTTCGCGGCGTCCCGCGGCTCCACGGGCGCGAGCGACGGGGGCCGGAGCGTCCAGAGCGACGGCCGCTTCTCCTTCTGCTTCTTCTTTTTTGAGGCCGCCCCGCCGAAGACGTCGTCGAACTCGACGTTCCGCGGCGACTTGCTCGTCAGTTCCACGGCGGGCTTGCCGGCCTCGACCTTGCCGCGGTACCGGAACTTGTTGACGACGACGAGCAGGACCGCGCCGAGGAGGAGGACCGCGGCGGCGAGGAGCATGAACGGGGACGTCGCGGCGGCCTGGTAGACGTCCGTCGACGACGACGACTTGCGGCGCGACGACGGCGCTCCGCGCGAGGGCGCGGCGGTCGCGGCGACGACGACGGCCTCGTCCACCTCGGCCTCGCTGTCTCCGGCGTCGAGCCAGGACGAGATCTCCGACCGCGCGAGCCCGTCGAGCGTCGGGACGCCCTCCGCGAGCCGTCGCCCGTCCGCGCAGCTCACGTTGACGCCGCCGAGCTCTTCGCAGACGACGGCGACGATCGCGTCCCGCGCGGAGCCGTCGCGGTACCGGTCCTTGAGCGCGGTCGCGGCGTCGTCGGACCACGCGCCGCTCTCGAAGCTGTAGACGAGGCGCGTCGCGTTGCCGAGCGGCGCGCCGCCGTCGCACTGGACGTACGCGAGGGCCCCGAGCGTCGCGTCCGCGGGGCTCGCGATGACGCTGTCGAAGACGAGCTCGCCGAAGAGCCGCCACTCTCTCGCCGCGTTGTAGTAGTCCGCGCTGCTGCGGTTCGACGCGCAGTCCGCGTAGGGCCAGTCGTCCGTCGACGGGAGGCCCCGGAGGACGACGGCGACGGTCACGAGCTTCGGCGGCCGCGTTCGCGAGGGCGCGTAGGTGGGCCTCGACGTCGCCGCGGGAGAGGGCGCCCGGGAAGGCGCGCCCGTCGTCGGCGGCGCGGTCGGCGGGCTCGACGTCGGCCCTCGACTCGGTTCGCTCGTCGTGGGCCGCGCCGTCGTCGGCGGCAGCGTCGGCGCGCTCGTGGGCATGTCGTACATGTCTCCGTCCGCGACGCAGAAGTGTTCGACGCATCCGACGCCGCCGCAAGAGAAGCGGTGCGCGTCTTCGTCCGCGAAGGTGAAGGACGCCGCGTCCGTCGCGCCCGCGAGCTCGACCCGGAAGCAGCCGTCGGCGAGGCAGAGGAACCGCGTGTCGCGGGTGCCGCGCTCGAGCGTGCCGCCGACCGCGTCGGCCCACTCGTTGTCGAGCGGCTCGACGGCGTAGGTCGCGCCGTCCCAGCCGTCGCCCGTCGACGCGAGCTCGAGCCGATAGAGGGATCTCGGCAGCGACGGCATGTCGAGCCGCATCAGCGACAGGCAGACCGGCGTCGGGGAGGCCGACGGCGACGCGGTCGTCGGAGTCGTCGTCGGTTCCCAGGACGGTCCAAGGGGTCCGCTGTAGGGAGCGCGCGTGGGCCTCGATGTCGACGGCTCGGCGGTCGACGGCGACGCGGTGGGCCTTTCGCTGGGAGGCGACGACGAGGGAAAAAGACTCGGGGTGGGCGTCGGGAACGGCGACGGCTTCGAGCTTGGCCATGACGAAGGAAGTTGCGAAGGCTCCGGCTGCGGCGCGAGGCTCGGCGCCGTCGACGGTCCCGGCGTCGGTCTTGGCGTCGGCGCGAAGACGGGCGCCGCCGACGGATCGCCGGGGATCGGCGTCGGCCAGGGACTTGGCCGCGGCGTCGGGGCCGGCGAGGGCGCGGGCGTAGGTATTGGCTCGGGAACCAACGACGGAGACGGCTGGGGCGCGAGGCTCGGTCCCGGCGTCGGCGTCGGCGTCGGCGCGAAGACGGGCGCGGCCGACGGGTCGCCGGGGATTGGCGTTGGCCAGGGACTTGGCCGCGGCGTCGGGGCCGGCGAGGGCGCGGGCGTAGGTATTGGCTCGGGAACCAACGACGGAGACGGCTGGGGCGCGAGGCTCGGTCCCGGCGTCGGCGTCGGCGTCGGCGCGAAGACGGGCGCGGCCGACGGGTCGCCGGGGATTGGCGTTGGCCAGGGACTTGGCCGCGGCGTCGGGGCCGGCGAGGGCGCGGGCGTAGGTATTGGCTCGGGAACCAACGACGGAGACGGCTGGGGCGCGAGGCTCGGTCCCGGCGTCGGTCCTGGCGTCGGCGCGAAGACGGGCGCCGCCGACGGGTCGCCGGGGATGGGTGTCGGCCAGGGACTTGGCCGCGGCGTCGGGGCAGGCGAGGGCGCGAGCGTAGGTATCGGCTCGGGAACCAATGACGGAGACGGCTGGGGCGCGAGGCTCGGCCCCGGCGTCGGCGTCGGCGTTGGCGCGAAGACGGGCGCCGCCGACGGATCGCCGGGGATCGGCGTCGGCCAGGGACTTGGCCGCGGCGTCGGGGCAGGCGAGGGCGCGGGCGTAGGTATTGGCTCGGGAACCAACGACGGAGACGGCTGGGGCGCGAGGCTCGGCCCCGGCGTCGGCGTCGGCGTTGGCGCGAAGACGGGGGCCGCCGACGGATCGCCGGGGATCGGCGTCGGCCAGGGACTTGGCCGCGGCGTCGGGGCAGGCGAGGGCGCGGGCGTAGGTATTGGCTCGGGAACCAACGACGGAGACGGCTGGGGCGCGAGGCTCGGCCCCGGCGTCGGCGTCGGCGTTGGCGCGAAGACGGGGGCCGCCGACGGATCGCCGGGGATCGGCGTCGGCGCAGGCGTCGGCTGCGGCGTCGGCGCCGGCGAGGGCGCGGGTGTAGGCATCGGCTCGGGAACCAACGACGGAGACGGCTGGGGCGCGAGGCTCGGTCCCGGCGTCGGCATCGAGCTTGGCGCTGGCCGAGGAATCGCGCTTGGCAATTTGCTGGGCGAAACCGTCGGATTGGGCCTCGGCAGCAGCGATGGCGCGGGCTCGGGCGCGCGACTTGGATTCGACGTTGGACTGGGAGCCGGTATGATGCTCGGTTCCGCCGTCGGATGTGGAATCGTCGGCGACATCGTCGGACGATCGTACATGTCGCCCGCCTCGACGCAGAACGATTCGGAGCATCCGACGTCCGCGCAGGCGAAGCGATGCGCATCCGCGTCCGCGAACGTGAGCGAGATGTCGGAGCTTAATCGCCGCCCGTGGTTCGGATGGACGAAATCGTCCCACACGAAATCCTCCGATGTGACGTCTATCGTGTAGCATCCGTCGGCGAGACAGACGAACTGCGTCTCGAACGCGCCGTCGACCAGCGTCCCGGTGGCCACCGCGTCGCCGTCGAGCGAGAAGATCTCGTAGGTGACGCCGTCGTCCCATCCGTCGCCGTCGGAGCTGAGTTCGAGGCGGTAGAGGAACTCCGACTCCGCGCAGGAAGGCGTCGGCAGGGGCGAGGGCGCCGCGGTAGGCGAGGGCCGCGGGGCGTTCGACGGCGTGGCAGTCGGAATATGCGTCGGCGATGATTGCGGCGCGTTCGACGGTATCGTCGTCGGCGATGGGTCAGGAGCCACGCTGGGAGCTGGAGATGGCTCGACCGTTGGCTGCGACGTCGGCAGAGATGATGGCAGTGGGTAGGGCGCATCGCTCGGCGCGGACGACGGCGTATGAGATGGCCTTGGCTCTGGCATGAGCGTCGGCGCAGCGGTAGGCGGAAGCGTCGGCATAGCCGACGGAGTCTCCGTGGGTTTCGGCGTAGGAGCAAACACGGGTGCAGCGCTGGGGTCACCAGGAATCGGCGTCGGGTAGGGCGTCGGCGTCGGCGTCGGTGCCGGCGTCGGTTTTGGCGATGGTATGGCTGAGGGCGCGGGCGCGGGCAAGCTCGACGGTGAAGCCGTCGGAGTTCGCGATGGCGATGATTGTGGCGTATGAGAAGGAGCAGCGCTCGGCGAAGGCACGGGCGCGGCGCTCGGTATTGGCTCCGGAGCTGTGCTCGGCGAAGGGTCGGGCGCGGCGCTCGGTATTGGCTCCGGAGCTGCGCTCGGCGAAGGCTCGGGCGCGGCGCTCGGCATTGGCTCCGGAGCCGCGCTCGGCGAAGGCTCGGGCGCGGCGCTCGGCATTGGCTCCGGAGCGGAGCTCGGCGAAGGCTCGGGCGCGGCGCTCGGCATTGGCTCCGGAGCCGCGCTCGGCGATGGCTCGGGCGCGGCGCTCGGCATTGGCTCCGGAGCGGAGCTCGGCGAAGGCTCGGGCGCAAAGCTAGGCGCGGACGACGGCGTCTCCGTCGGTTTTGGCGTCGGCGCGAACACGGGAGCAGCGCTCGGATCTCCAGGAATCGGCGTCGGATAGGGCGTCGGCGTCGGCGTCGGTGCCGGCGTCGGTTTGGGCGAGGGCAAGCTCGACGGTGAAGCCGTAGGAGTTCGCGATGGCGACGATTGCGGTACGCTCGACGGAGACGCAGTGGGTGCAGCGCTCGGCGAAGGCACGGGCGCGGCACTTGGCGATGGCTCCGGTGCGGCGCTGGGTGACGGCTCCGGCGCGGCGCTCGGTATTGGCGCCGGAGCCGCGCTGGGCGATGGTTCCGGTAAGCTGGTGGGCGACGGCCAGGGAAGCTGCGAAGGCTGCGGGGCAGGCAATAGCGATGGTTCTGGATTGGGAAGCTGTGATGGACGAGGGGCTGGCGCGAGGCTCGGTGAAGCAGTTGGCGTGGCTGACGGCCCCGACGTCGGCAGGGGCTCCGGCGAAGACGAGGGCGCAGGCACGGGCATAGCCGTAGGCGTCGCGCTGGGAATTTGCGACGGGAGTGGTAGCGGCGCGGCGGACGGCCTCGGCGATGGCATGAGCGTCGGCGAAGGCTTCGGCGGAAGCGTCGGCGTCGCAGACGGCGTCTCCGTGGGTTTCGGCGTCGGCGCGAACACGGGCGCGGCCGACGGGTCGCCGGGTAAAGGCGTCGGCCCCGGCGTCGGCGACGGCGTCGGTCCCGGCGTCGGGGGGCGCTTCGAGGGCGACGCCGACGGCGCCGCGCTGGGCGGGCTCGACGTGGGACGCCTCGAGGGCGCCGCCGTCGTCGGCTGGTTGGTCGGCGCCGCCGTCGGGCGAGCGACGCAAACGTCGCAGGTGGCGGGACAGTCGTACAGAATAGACACCGTGCCCGACCCCGTCTGGTAGCCCACGGCCGAAAGAACCAAATCCTCCGTCGTCGCGCCGTCGACGTAGACGTACTCGCTCGCGTAGGACGAGTCGCCGGTGATCGCGTAGCTCTTCCCGTCGTAGTAGGGCCCCGCGGTGAGCGTGTACGTGCAGCCGTCGACGCAGGTCGTGAAGGACATGCCGTTGAACGCGAAGGATTGCTGGTTCGGGTACCAGTGCGTGCTCGACGCGCCGTCGAACTCGAGGATCGTCTCGCCCGCGGCCGTTTGCAGGAGCAGGTCGATGTCGGCCGTCGCGTCGAGCTCGACCCAGATGTTCTGCTGCGTCGCCCGGATCTCCTCGATGACCATGGTCTCGCCCTGGGCGAGGGCGACCTCGTGGACCCAGGGGTTGCCCGTGTACTCGCACGCGACGGAGCCCGTCGGCGCGGCGCCGTCGCCGGACGGCGCGGCCGTCGTCGGCGCGGCGGACGGCGCCGCCACGGGGCAGTTCGAGCACGTGGCCGGGCAGCCAATCTCCGACGCGACGCCGCTCTCATCCAGCTTGTCGTCGAAGCATCGATTGGTCGGGTTGCTTGCGATCCAGGCGCAGTCCTTGGGCGGCTTGCCCGCGATGTACCACGAGCTGCTGTCCTCGCAGCCCGTGACGAGCCCGGCGACGGCGCAGAGCCAGCGGAGCCACCTGAGGCTACCTGCTCCTCGGCGGCGCGCCGCCATTGAGGTCGCCTTCTCCTCAGCGGCAGAGCCAGCGGAGCCGCATTCCACAGCGGCGCGGCGCCATTAGGCAGCCTTCTCCATCGCGCGCGTTTGTTAAAAGGTCAACATTGATGAAGTTGAAGAATAATTCTAAGTCATCGGCACGACGGGGAGCGCGACCTTGGCCCCAGCATGCTCCAACGCCGCGTCGTAGCGCACGACGAGCTCGCCGCCCTGGCCGCCCGGCTCGACGGCGTAGACGTCGCCGCCGGCGACGAAGAGCTTGTAGGCCGCGACGTCGCGGACGTCGCCGATGGTCGCGTTGCCGCCGTCCGCGAGCGCGACGCGGGCGACGAGGGCCTTCGGCGACTCCTTGTAGGCGCAGTAGGGCGGCAGGTCCGGCGTCCCCGCGAGCGCGGGCGGCGGCGGCGCCGGCGTGCACGACTGGCCCGTCGCGAGCACCGCGGCGTCGCCGACGGCCGCGACGCCGCTCAGGTCCGCGATGAACGCGGCGTTCGCAAGCGTCGCCGCCGCCGCCGCGAGCGTCACGTTGCCCTCGCCGCCGCCGTCGAGGACCTCGTAGAGCGCCTGGGCAGGAAAAGGGTGCGAAATTCCCAACTTCAAAGGCTCCTATCTCGGTCGTTTTCCGCTCGTTTCGGCTGATTTTTGGACGAGCGATCATCTCTCGGAGCGCTCCCGAAGCGTGGGTGCTGTGTCCGAAACGCGCGCGCGCGGAACACTCACGTTGAAGCGACGTTGAATCACCCTTTTCCTGCCCTGTAGAGCGCGGGCGGGACCTGCGCGTAGCGGCCCTCGGACGTGCCCGGGACCCAGAGCCGGCCGCCCGTCGCCACGAGCAGGTCGTCGAGCGTGCCGCCGTCGTTCTCGAAGCTCGCCCAGGACTCGGGCGTGCCCTTTTTGTGGAAGCGGACGACGACGCTCGCGGCGTCGGGCGCGTCGCCGTCGCACGTCGCGACGCCGTAGAGCTTGCCGCCGTGCATGGAGAGCGACTTGAGCGACGACAAATACCCGTCCGGGCAGGCCCAGCCGCCGGCGGCGTACTTCTCCGACGTCGCGGGCGTGTGGAGTCGGCCGCCAGCGGCAGGTCGTAGGACACGAGGTACTCGTTGACGCCGACCCAGAGCGTGGCGCCGTCGACGACCATGCCGGCGGCGTTGCAGTAGCTGTTGCGCGCCTGGCCGCCGCAGTCGATGGGCAGTGGCGTGCGCGTCGCGACGGCGAGCGAATTCGCGTCGCCCGCGAGCGCGAGGATCGCGGGGCCCGCGCCGGGCGACGACGCGTACATGGCGTCGAGGGCCCAGAAGACTTGGTGTTCAGACGCCGCCGTGGTCGCGCCGCAGACCATCTTCTTCCAGCCGTCGGCGTCGGCGTCCGGCGGCATCGCGAGGGACGCCGTGACGTTCATCGTCGCCGTGTCCACGCGGTAGAGCATGTCGGCGTGTTGGAGTTGGGTGTTCGCGCAGAGGAAGAGGTCGCCGCCGACGAGGCGGCCGGTCTTGATCGTGTCGCCGGCGCGGGCCGACGCCGCCAGGGCGACGATCGCGGGGAGCGTGCGCATCATCATGCTGCCAATGATCGCTCTGAGTCGGGGCAGCCTCCTGCTCGGATACTTTGACGGCAAGCCGGGCAGCAACTTAAGCGCTGACGTATCCAACATCAAACTCTCTATCTCTACTCCAGGTGGCATCCCGAAAGATCTATCGGTCGTTTCGAACATCATCGGGGCTGACCGCTGTATCACTAGTGTGTATGGTCTTTGGGACGACCGACTGGCGGGTGGCGTCGTGAACCGCGGCGGACGACCTCGGAGCACTCGTCCGAACCTCGCGTGTGCGGGCCGCGCGCGCGGACGAGCGCGTCGGGCGCCATCGAGGTCCATCGCGTCCGGATTGGTGGTCGAATCTCCACGAACATTCGATTGGCGGTCGTAGCCCCGGTGTGGCCAGACACGCCACCAACGACGACAGACTGAACAGTGGACCGAATCGACGAGCTATAGCACCGTGCGCGCGCCATAAAGCCCTCATCCTTGGGTAGCCGCTCGCGCGCGAGCCTCTTCCGAGGCCCCACCACCCCGACCCGGGTGAAAATCGATTGAAAAACGGCGGCCGTTGCGATGTCGCCCGCGTGCGCCGAAAACGAGAACGAGGACGGCTGGATGATGGTCGAGGCGCCGGCCGTGCCGCCCCTGTCCGCGCCGGAGGAGAAGTGGGTCGTCACCGCCGCCGGCACCCACTGCCGCGACCGCTACGTCACGTGCCTCGAGGGCAAGGAGAACGGCGACGGCGACGCGAACAACGGCGCGGAGCCGAACCACGTCGACGACGACTGCAAGAGCGCGCTCTGCGGCTCCGAGGCGAGCCACGGCACCAAGTCGACGACGTCCGCGGGCGAGATCAAGGCGCGGGCCGCGAAGAAGCCCGTCGTCAACAAGAAGAAGAAGGAGAAGAACGCGCAGAAGAACAACAAGAAGAAGAAGCGGCTCGCTCCGTTCTGCGGCAGGACGCTGTACCCCTGAGGTGCGTCGCCCGCGGCAGCAGCGTTGCGCCCCCGAAGCGGGCGCCGCAGCGACCCCAAGCTCCGCGCCGGCTCGAGTACCAGTCCGAGCCCGCGCGTCTGTTCGTCCGCGTCCCGCTTCGCCCGGACGAGGCGCATGGAAACGCGCCCCGCCGGTCCCTACCGAGCCGAAGTGCGGGTCCGATTAAAAAAAATTCAATGTCGAGTGTGTGGCTAGCGCGTCCGCGGAGGCGTGTTTTGCGTCAGCCAATCAGCAAGCGGCGCGCGCCGCCGAGCTTGGCACGATGTGGCATTACGAGGCGCGCAGCTGACCGTTGCTGCCGAGCACCACTCCTGACCGTTGCTGCCGCGCCGCGCGAACACCGCTACTGCACCACTCCTGACCGTTGCTGCCGCGCCGCGCGAGCACCGCTCCTGCAAAAATGTCGCAGCTCCGCGTCGTGCTCTGGCGCCACGCGCTCGTGCGGAGCCGCACGACCTGGAGCAGCAGCGCCCTGCACCCGGCGCTGTCGCTGTGCCTCGCCGCGGCCATCTACCGCACGGCGCAGCTCGCCTCCGAGGGCTGGCTCGAGCTCGCGCTGCTGCCGCTCGGCGCGCTCATGCCGACGGCGGAGCGCGTCGTCGCGCTCGCGGCGGAGCGGTCGTCCGGCCTCGTCGACGTGCTGCGCGTCATGGGCCTGCGCGGCGGCGTCTACGAGCTCGGCTGGGCCGCCGACGCCTGCGGCGTCGGCGCCGCCGTCGCCGCGAGCGTCGGCGCCCTCAGCGCGGCGCTCGGGCTCTTCGCCGGCGCGGGGGCCGCGGGGCCCGCGGCCCTGCTCCTCGCCTTCTCGGCCGCGAACGGCGCGCTGTGCTCCCTGTTGGCGGAGCTCGCCGCGTCGCCGCGGGCCGCGGGGCAGGTCGCGCTCGCGGCGCAGTTCCTCCAGTTCGCGTGCGCCGCCGCCGCGCTCAAGGCGCCGGCCGTCGCGTCGCGCGCGGCGTGGTGCGTCCTGCCGCACGTCGGCCTGGTCCTCGGCGCGAGCTCCTTCCGCGGCGACGCGCCCGGCCTGCCCGCCGTCTGCGCGATGCTCGTCGCCGCCGCGGTCGCCTACGGCGCGTGCGCGCGCGCGCTCGCGGCGCGGCGGCGCGGCCGGCGGCGACCGGCGTCGGGCGGCGACGCGACGGCGACCGGCGTCGCCGTCGAAGCCCTCGTCAAGCGCTTCGACGGCGTCGACGCGCTCCGCGGCATGACGTTTGCCTTCGAGCCGTCGACGATCTTCGCGCTGCTCGGGCCCAACGGCGCGGGCAAGACGACGACGGTCGGCTGCCTCACGGGGCTCGTCGACCCCGACGCCGGCGCCGCGCGCGTCTTCGGCCGCGACGCGCGGGCGGCGCACGGCCTCACGGGCCTCTGCGGCCAGCGCGACTCGGCGCTCCTCGAGACGCTGACCGCGCGCGAGCACGTCGCCTTTTACGCGTCGCTCAAGGGCGGCGCGCGCGACGACGCCGTCCTGCGGGCGCTGGGCCTCGCGCGGGACGCGGACCGCGTCGCGACGGAGCTCTCGGGCGGCGGCAAGCGGAAGCTCAGCGTCGCCGTCGCGCTCTGCGGCGGCTCCAGGTTCGTCGTCCTGGACGAGCCGTCGGCGGGGCTCGACGCGCTCGCGCGGCGCGCGCTCTGGGACGCGCTGCGCCGAGCCAAGGCGGGCCGCTGCGTGCTGCTGACGACGCACCACCTCGACGAGGCCGCGGTGCTCGGCGACGCCATCGGCATCGCCGTGCGAGGCGCGCTCGTCGCGAAGGGCGGCGCGGCCGAGCTCCGGCGGACCTACGGCTCGGGCTACGAGGTCGTCGCGCGGAAGACGGCGCGCTTCGACGACGGCGGCTGGCGGGCCGTCGTCGGGGACGGCGCGGCGGCGCCGACCTTCGACGCCGCGTTCGCGGCCGCGCGCGTCGCCGACGCGCCGCGCGTCGCGCCGCTCCTCCGGCGCGCCGAGGCCTGGCCCGGCGTCGACCGCTGCGCCGTGTCCCTCGCGTCCCTCGAGGAGGCCTACCTCGTCGCGTCCGGCGACGGCGCGGCCCTGGCCGCGCCGGACGAGGCCCGGGCGTCGCGGTTCCGCGAGCGGCGGCCGCCGGCGTCCTTCGCGCTCCGCGCGGCCGCCGTCGCGCGGAAGCGCCTGCGCCAGACGACGCGCGCGCCGACGGCGTCCCTCGTCGCGACGCCCGCGGCCTTCGCGGCGCTCGCGGCCGTCGGCGTCCGCGGGCGCCTCGTCACGGCCGACGCCGTCGGCAACGCCGTCGGCGCGGCGTTCTGCTGCGCGGCGGGCTGGGTCGCGGCGCCGGCGCTCCTCGCCGAGTCGCTCGTCCGCGAGCGGGGCGACGGCTGCCGGGGCGTCCTCGCCGTCGCCGGCGCGGACCGATGGAGCTACGGGCTCGGCACGCTGGCCGCGGACGTCGCGCTCCTCGCGCCCGTCGCCGCCGCCTGCGCGGGCGCCCTCGCCTTCGCGGCGCCGTCGGCGGCGGCGGCGCGCCAGGTGGCCCTCGTTTTCCTCTGCGCGGCGCCGCTCGTCGCGGCCTACGCGCACGCGGCGTCGACGTTTTTTTCGAGTCCGAGCGCGTGCCTCGGCCAGCTGCCGCCGCTCCAAATCTTCCAGGCCTTCGCGCCGCAAATCGTCATCCTCGTCTTCTTCCTCGTCGACGCGCCCATCGCCGGCGACGACCTCGTCTCGCTCGAGTACTGGCTCTGCGCGCTCGCGGCGCCGCAGGCCGCCGTCTTCGTCCACGCGTCGAACTTCCTCGTCTCCGCGGCCAACGACGTCCCGACGGACTCGTCCTACGCGCCGCCGCTGGGCGCCGTCCTCGCGGCGACGGTCGCGCAGGCGCTTTTCTTCGTCGGCGTCGCCGCGGCGCGGTCCGCGCCGGCCGCGGCGTCGCCCGGGCCGCCGGTCCGCCCGAAGCTCGCCGACGGCGCGGTCGCGGCCGAGGCCGCGGCCGTCGCGGCGACGGCGCCGGGCGCGCGCCCGCTCGTCGTCGACGGCCTCGGCCACGCCTACGGCGGCGGCCCCGACGTCCTGCGGGGCGTGTCGTTCCGCGTCGCCGCGGGCGAGTGCTTCGGGCTCCTGGGCTGCAACGGCGCGGGCAAGTCGACGATCATCTCGTCCGCGCTCGGCTTCCTCGCGCCGCGGGCGGGCGCCGTCGCCCTCGACGGTCGCAGCGTCGGGGTCGTCCCGCAGGCCGACGCGCTCTTCGACGATCTCGATTGCCGGGCGCACGTCGACGCGCTGGCGGCGCTCCGGGGCTTCGCCGGCGGCCGGAGCGCGCTCGTCGACGGCGTCCTCGACGCGCTCGCGCTGCCGGAACACGGCAGGGCGTCGACGCTGAGCGGCGGCACGCGGCGGCGGCTGAGCGTCGCGCTCGCTCTCGTCGGCGACCCGCGCGTGGTCCTGCTGGACGAGCCGTCGAACGGCCTCGACCCGCGCGCGCGCCGCGACCTCTGGAACGTCGTCCGCGCGACGCGCGCGCGGCGCGCGGTCGTGCTCACGACGCACGACATGGGCGAGGTCGAGGCGCTCTGCGACCGCGCGGCCGTCCTCGTCGCCGGCGCCTTCGAGGCCCTCGGGACCGTCGCGGGCCTCAAGGACGCGCTCGGCGACACCTACGACGTCACGGCGACGTCGACGGGCGCGGCGGACGACGTCCACGAGGCCGTCGTCGGCATCTTTCCGGGCGCGGTCCTCGAGGACGCGACGGCCGGCGCGTACCGCTACCGCGCGCCGCGCCGCGCCGCGGGCGCGCTCGCGGCGGCCTTCGACGCCCTCGAGGCCCACCGCGGCGGCCTCCTCGACGACTACGCCGTCTCGCTGCCCTCCATGGAGGCCATCTTCGTCAGCACCGTCAAGCGGGCGGCCGCGCGCGCGCGGCGGAAAGGCAACTTGCCATTGTGAATGTTTTGGCGCATAAAGCTTGAAGCTTGCGAAAACGCTTTAGCTGTTGCTTTAGCCGCTCCTGCTGAACAAATCCCACGATGATCGCGGCTCGCGCCCTCAGAAGTATCGGCCTGGCCGCGCGCCGCGCCGCGCCGGCCGTCGCCTCGTCCAAGCCGGCGGTCCCGGCGTTCTCCTTCGCCGCGAATCGCGCGCTGTCGACGAAAGAGGAGGCGCCGTCGTCGGGGCCGCCCCAGACCTACGCGGACTACTCGCACGACGCGCTCCTCATGCTCTCCGTGGCCGGTGGCGCGCCGGCGCCCGCGGGGCGCGCGACGCCTTTTTCGGGGGCGGGCAAGAGGACGCGCCGCGCGCGCGCAGGCGACGACGACGCGGTCGTCGAGCGCATGGTCCGCGACATCATGCTCGTCGACGGCGTCTCGTACGCGGACGCGAACGTCAAGATGGCGGAGATCGCGCGTCGCGCCGCGTCCGGGTCCCGCCGCGCCCCGTCGCGCACCCGTCCGTCCCGTAGGAGGCGGCGGCGACGAAGGGCCTCTGGCTCACGCGGTTCCCCTACCGCGTGGGCATCGCCTCGGCGCTCATCGCCGGCTTCGGGTCGATCCCGATGTGCTTCGACCTGCACACGACCTTGTGGTTCAACGAGGGCTACGTGACGACGGACGTGCCCGAGGCCAAGGACCTCGAGACGTGGCTCGAGGTCGGCTCCTGGTCCTGGAACTGGATGGAGCCCCCGCTCGGCCAGGCGTCCTTCTTCCTACTCTGCCTCCAGTACAGCCGCGACCAGATGAAGAACATCGGCATGAAGCCCTACACGGAGTGGCTCAAGGAGCGCCGCGCCGCGAAGCTCGTGGACCAGTTCCCCACCTACAACAAGATCATCGTCGCCGACTTCTCCCGGTCCCTCATGATGCGCTGAGCGCGCCATGCGGACCGGGACGAGCGCCGAAGCGACGACGGCCGTTTTCTCCCACCGCCGCGCCACGCGACTCGCCGCGGGCCTCACTCGCAGGCCCCACCGCTGGCCGGAGTCGGAGCCCCCCCACCCACCCGCCCGATTGTCACCATACGCCCGCGGGCCCCGCCACCGGCGCGGGGTCCCCCCATAAACATCCGCTTCCCGTGCACTTCAACGTCGATGATGCCGCAACGTTCACCCGACATGCGCGCTTTGTCGCCCGCATCTTCGGAACACAATGATCGCGAGCGGTGTCACCGACGCCGGCGCGGCGCGGCCCGGCAAGGCGGCGGCCGTGACGCACGTCATCACGCCGCCGGGGACCGCCGCGGCCCACTTCGCGCCGCCCCGCGAGGGCGGCCCTTTGACCAAGGCCGTGTCCCTCGAAGATGCATCCCTGCCCCTGCGGTGCGGGCCCTGCGGCGTGCCGCGCCGGCGAAAGATGCTCGTCATCTGCGTCGACGGCTGCCGCGGCGACGCGCTCATGATGGCGGCGCCCGACGTCATGCGGCCGCTGCTGCGGACGCCCGGCGTGTCGTTCACGTTCCACGCGCGCTGCGACGACGCGCCCGTGAGCTACCCGTCCTGGGCGACGACGTTCACGGGCGTCGCCGAGGCCGACCACGGGGTCCACGACAACGCCGAGCACCGGCCGCCCAAAGCGCCGTCCGTCGCGCACCGCCTCAAGGCCGCGGGGCTCGGCGTGACGACGGCGCTCTACGCGAGCGGCTGGTTCGGCCTCCGCAACGTCTTCAGCCGCGCGGGCGCCGAGGCGCCGACCTTTGGCTGGGCGGACGGCGACGAGACACACGTCGACGGGGTGCTGGACGTCGTGCGGCCCTTCGGCCACGACGCGCTCGAGGACCCGGACTGGCGACGGACGCCCGCGGGCGCGTGGCGGGGCGACGCGGAGGCGACGGCGGCCTGCGTCGCGGCCATCCGCGCGGGGGAGGCGTCGGACCTCGGCGTCGTCTACCTCTGGGACGTCGACCGCGTCGGCCACCGCGACGGCTTCGGGCCCCAGGTCGACGCCTACGTCGACGCCGTCGCCGTCGCGTTCAGAGACCGCGTCGCCCCGCTCCTCGCGGCCGTCGCGGAGCGCGAGGCCGCCGTCGCGTCGGCGCGCGCCGCCGGGTCGTCCGTGGACGAGGAGTGGCTCGTCGTCGTGACGACGGACCACGGCGGCTCCGCGCGGAAGTCGACGGGCCGCGCCGTCGGCCGCCGCTTCGACGCGCTCCGC